TCGTGCGTGCGTGCGTGCGTGTGTGTGTGTGTGTGTGTGTGTGTGTGTGCGTTCTACACTCTGGATAGAAATATTTTTATTATTATCTACAAGTACTGATCACAACACTGTCACGTCATAGCTGTGCACTCGCTGTGCACTGCACTCGATGTACTACACAATGAAGAATTCATGCATGACATCACATAGGTGACATCATGCACTCACATCGGTGACGTCATGCACTCACCTGAACAAGCTGAGAAGAAACGCAACAACCTCATCTCCAAAACTCTTCGGCAAGCGAGCCGCGATGCGTCCCACACTATACACACATACAATACACACAGGGAAAAGGACACCCATGTCCACGTCTTGTACACACGGATCACCTGTAAGAAATGAACCCAGAGCGACCACGAACCCACCTCGCCACTGCCAGCACCAGCACCAGCACAACATGCAGCACCATTACCCAAACTCTCACCAGCAGCATCACCAGCACCAGCCCCAGCACCAGCACCCCAACTCTCACCAGCACTGACCCTCACCCTCACCGCCAGCAGCAGCACCAGTACCACCATCAGCACCAGTACCCACACCAGCAGCAGCAGCAGCAGCACCTACACCACCATCACCAGCAGCACCATCACCAGCAGCACCATCACCACCACCAGCAGCACCACCACCAGCAGCACCATCACCATCACCACCACCATGCTCAGCATCAGCACCAGCACCACCAGCACAAAGCAGGATGGCTATCCAAGCACCGTGTCCTCCATCTCAACTCACCCTTTCGCTGCAGACCACCGTACCACTGTGTCCTTATCGCACAAGCTGGTCCAAATCGTCTCTACCACAGGGACACAAAACAGGCCATGCAACAATCAGGACTAGCTACAAGATGATTGCACACTGACAATTGTCTACTGCAAAACCTATGTACGGCGCTATAAGCCTATCACTTTCACCACCACCACCACCACCACTCTTACGCCCACTCTCTCTCTCTTGCTACCTCACTATAACTTTCACCACCACCACTCTCACGCCCACTCTCTTCCCTTGCTACCTCACTCACTGCATACATCACCATCTGATCCTTTAGTTATTACACACACACACACACACACACACACACACACACACACACACACACACACACACACACACACACACACACACACACACACACACACATACCGGTAGTTTCCCCTTTTCAATCCATTTTTCAATATTCGCAGGCTTTACTTACTGCGGCCATCCATTATAACCGCACATCCTCACAACACTCCGTAACCTGTTGGTCCCTGGCTGAGCGTGCAACACGCAGCGCACATCGCATACATCCAAACTTGAATTTTTCAATCTATCAATTTCCGTGGAAAACATGCATTTTCTTCACTTTGCCTCAATTTTCAGTGAATTCGTGAGCCCACCCTGTACAGATATTCATGCATGGTGTGTTCTGTGCACTGCTATGTGTACTTCGTGTACGTCTTGGTGTACACGAAGTGCGTGGCTGTGATCTTTTGTCCCCAGGGCCAAACTTTGACATCGCACTGCTGTTCGCGCTTCGAAATTCCTTGCTATGTCCTCCATTCACGTTTTTGTGGTCCATAACTATGGTTGCAAGATACTGCAGTTTCCGCAAATTTACTATATCTGGCTCACATTTGTCACTGTTTTCGCCCGCAATTTCTTGCGCATATTTCCGAATTTTTCCCCGCAATTTTCCAGGGGGCCAGCTCTGTGAACAACATCAGGCAGCTGCGATGTACGAGATCAGCGCTGCAATAGATTTTAGTAGGGGTGTCAACGAGTAGTAGGGTACCCGTGTTACCCGTAATTTGATCGGGTAGTAGGGTAGCAATTTGCTCCTGAGAACCCGATCGGGTAGTTGGAGTATGGTGGTGTTGCAACAGTGCATGTAAACAGCATGGCTACGTGCTACTGTACACTTTCTATGTAGCGCAAGTGCACACACTCACAGTACAAAACTGCGTCAAAAAATACCCGATCGGGTACCCGTGCTACCCGGATAAAAATACCCGGACCTGTTACCCGACCAAACCCCTACCCGTTGCAGCCTAAGTTTTTAGCATGTATTGTCAGGTCGAAATCGACCTACCGGCAACAAAGGGTTAAAACTTAAAACGGTCTCTGGACTTACCGAGAATGCTCTCGATCACTTCCGGCACGTCGAACTCGTCCTCCTCGTCCTGACCGGCCTGGGCAGAAGAGGATGCCGCCGCCTCGACACCATCACCACCACCGCCGCCGTTGTCCTGGCCAAGGTTGAGCAGTAGCGAGCGACTGCCGCGTTGATAGCGCCAGGCACACACACGCGTCGGCAGTAGGATCAGACCAACCCGCTGTGTGTAACAGGAGAGAGTCAACCGACGCGTTGTAGATACAATACGGGAAGAAGAAAGGGCACAGATACAAAGACAAACTACTATGGCGGAAAGACAACATGCTTCGGGGAGGAGGGAGAGCATACTCATACAATTTACAAACTTCAGTACAGTAAAACCTGTCAAGGAGACCACTCTGTCAAGGAGACCACTCTGATAAGGCGACCACCTGTCCTAGAGGACCACTACAACTTAGATCAAGGGGTGTTATTTCCAGTCAAATGACCTTGGATAAGGATAAGGAGACCACCTGTACATGGGACCACATTTTGAAGGTCCCTTGAGCGGTCGCCTTAGACGGGTTTCACTGTATATCGTAAATGTTCTTCTGGGGGACATAAGCATATGTAGTGTACTTTTTTTTTCGTTTTCAGCTGCGGCACTGTGTATCCAAGGCCAACCGACTGGAACGGCACAGTACTGTTGGGCGCCGACGAACGACAAGATTTCACCAGGCACTGCACACCCATCTGTACATGGTGGATCAGCCACACACAGCTACCGTAAGTCTACAAATGTTCAGCCCATTCAAATTTCGGCCTCCCAGGGCTAAACCCATTTCGGCCTCCCAGGGCTAAACCCATTTCGGCCTCCCAGGGCTAAACCCATTTCGGCCTCCCAGGGCTAAACCCATTTCGGCTGCATCAAATTTTCGACCTGTACTGCTGCCGCCTGTGTACACTGTCACACTGAACCTTGCAAAACAAAATTCCGGCCAAACATGACCAGGCCGGATCGGCCAAGAGCGCAATGTGGCGGTGTGGTGTATTGGATTCCATAATGGCCAGGCCGTCGCTACTTCTTCTCAAGGCCGAAAATAGCCAAAAATAAATACGCGCCGAATATTTGTTGGCTTTAATACAGTACATGAAAAATAAGAACGGTGTAGGCTACGGAGCCCCCAGTTCTTTGGCACCAGACAGTACTGTGTACGCAGAGTTCTCAAAAAGAAGTATTTTATATCAAAACAGAAAGGTACGTTATAACCAGTGCACTTCATCCGGAACCAATTCACTGGACATACAAGAAACGCACAAAAGAGAAAGAAAAAAAAAAAGAGATCGACCACGATGGGACTCGAACCCACAATCTTCTGATTCGAAGTCAGACGCCGTATCCATTGGGCCACGCGGTCCTCGATGAATGCAATGGAGGCACGGTGAGACTTGATACGACTCTCACCCACTCCAGGTGACTCCGCAGACGACAACAATGACAACAGCATAGTTGACTTCCCTTTTTAGCGGTCACGCTGGGAATGAGCACAGTCCGTAACTAGGAATTGCTCGCAACTCAGAACGTAAAGAAGACTCTAGAGGGGTAAGAAAGAAAGGTGTCCGGTAGAGCCTCTGAGGGGATGGGGGGCAGATCTAGGGAGTCCGATTTAGGGTGCGTTCAGATTACCGAGAAACCGGGAACGGCGATAAACTGCGATGGACATTCGCACTACTAAAGCCCAAGAGCAAGCCGCCGACTAATGTCAGACCGGGACTTTGAACAGGGGCGTCACACACGGTACGAGCAGTGCGACCAGTACCAGCATGGTCGTACTACACTTTTTGTCCGAGGCGGTCCACCCAAATCCATCCAAAATCAATAAAAGAGCACTAAAACGCCCCCTTTAATATATGGCCTATTGGCTGAAAAATCCGAATTTTTCTCCCCGGGGACCCCCCCTCCCCGGAGGTCGTACCATCCCCCACTGCCCTGTGACCCCCACCCCACTGCCCTGTGACACCCCTGTTGTAGAACACGGCGAGCTCCAAGACTGAAGATTTGGAAGAAATCGAACGTCCTAGGAAAGTACCGCGCCTACAACGGTGAAGGAAACTCCTACTCCCCGGAAACCAAGCACATGAAGTGGTGACCTAGCCATGATCAGCAGAAGATACCAGGTGTTCAGAATCTAAAGAGCTGGGATCCACTTTGAAAGGTCACTTTACTATGATGGAGCCAGTTGGTGGGTTTGGAGCTCCTGCACCAGAATCCCTTTCCTTTAGAATAGAAAAAAAGATTGGCCAGCAGATCACTTGTTCTGTTCTCTGCGTGTGCCGGTGGTGATAGAGACATCAGAAAACAACGACACAAAGCAGTGCATCTCACCTGGACCAGCTTGACAGCCAGCTTCCTGAGCAGTGTGTTGCTGCTGTTGAGCAGCTGTGAGCCAGTAACACTGTGGTATGTACTCTCGCTGTACTCAAGCAAGTCCTCACGCCGGCCATGCTTGAACAGTGCAGACAATGTGGACAGTGCCCCGGCCACAGACGTACCAGCATATCCTGCATGGGAGAGTGGAAGAGAGTGAGAGTGAATGAGAGAGAGAGAGAGAGAGAGAGAGAGAGAGAGAGAGAGAGAGAGAGAGAGAGAGAGAGAGAGAGAGAGAGAGAGAGAGAGAGAGTGTCGCTTCCTCCATTTTGTGTTTTACTGAATTTCTCTTCACCATCACCGAAGTGCGACGCGAATTCACAAAATACCATTCACAGAAGAAGTCAGCGATGCAACATCGCCTCGCTGATGTGCCTCAAAGCACAAAACGAAGGTGCACAACACCATGGTATGCCCGTTGCCGGGTACAACTTGCACAAATTTACAAGTAACTCTTTGACCTAGCGGACAGCTTTTCGCTACAAAGACGGTCCAATTTGAAATCGCAATTTGAAATCGCATCAAAAGAAGAAGTCGAGCCAAGCTCAACTTCTCCTGCAATGCGCCAGTTATGATGGTTGGGTAAGCTGCGTGATGTGTGAGATTTGGGGATTGCCCCGGTTTCGCGGGCGTCACACCGCGCAGCGCATGCCAACACATGCTTCGGCGAATCCCGCTTAAAACACGTCTGCTTTCTCGCAGGACGGAATGTACAGTTGCGCTCACTGAAATCCGACCCAATGTGCAAAGACGGCGCTCTCAACTTGCAATGCCCTTGACCTTGCCCTGGAAGTGGTACGAATGTTGCTGGACGTACACATATACAAGTACAGCGATGTAATCGGAACTGGTGGTGCAGGGCGTCAGTTTTGCACTTTAGGTCGGAACGCAACTGTAGAAGCTTCTGCAGACATACATTGTACCAAGAGTCCATAACCCCCCAGAGTGTGCAACTCCAGGTTGGGGTCTGGCGCAACGAAATCCAAACATTGCGTCATCCGGTCCCCGGGCAAGCATGGGCGGATGGGGCCATGTGCATATCTGGTACATCCGGCGGGGGTTCCAAGTAACTTAGTTGAAGGTTGCTTTGAAGCAAGCCACGGAAGTGTCACGTAAAACGTTTGCTCCACGGGCTATGCAGTGTCAGCAGAACGGCTTTGATTTCACAGTCACAGAATTTTATATTTGAAGAGAGTTTCTCTGCTCGTTGTCTGAAAAGCTTGTATTGGGAGAGTTCGTGACTCCGGGATAGCAAGAATAGGCATGGATATAGATTTACAAGATTGCATGTGAGAAGCACAGACTTCGAGCAATAAATCTCTATCCAGGTGCTGGAAGAATTAACAATTTGCAACACTCGACAATCGAGAAGAAAATGAGGAGCCCAGATCGAGCAAAAACTGACGAATATCGTCCACAGAGACACTGCACTCCGGCGACAATGGGGAGCGCTTTGCTTTAGGTTCAACAGTGGCCATTGTTCTTCTCTTATCGGAGAGACACTCAAAAGAGAAAACTGTTCGACAACTCTAAAATAATTCTTTGTGTACTTGAGCCTTTCCAGGCGTGTTACGTACAATACCTGGCCGTGGATTCGTAAAGAAAGACCCCAAATTGGGCAAACGGGCGAAGTAGGTCCGGGCCAAACTTCCCATTTCGTCATAGCTACTCACTACATGACGTATGAAGTTTGGATTTCGTTGCGGCACTGATTTGTGCTGAGAAGGATCACGAGTTGCACACTCCGGGGGGTTATGGACTCTTGATTGTACATACATTGTGAGTGCTACATCCACTAGCATTCTCGGTCAGAACTCAAAAGAACACTAAAAAATCAAGAAGAAAAAAACAAAAAAATCCTTCGAGTCGGATTCGAACCAGCGACCTAAAGATGACTGCACATCCCAGTGATGCGCACACTACAGTCTTCCGCTCTACCAACTGAGCTATCGAAGGGGATGGAGATTACCACCGCAGTACTAACTGAGCTATCGAAGGGGAACGAGACGCTGTGCGCTCCGCCCTGCTAACCGAACTATCGCAGCAGACAAACAAAGCGGTCAGCAAAACCACAACAGACTACAATAGTCACCTGACAGGGGCGTCGGAAGGTATTTTAGTGTGGTACGGTCAGCCATCTGAAGTACATTTCACTCGTGGGGGAGATGTGGCTGAGCCGAAAATTTTGGATCCCAGATCAGTGTATTTCATTGATTAACGGGGTACCTGGGGGAAAAAGTGCCACGGTCAATACCGTAGTGACCGTACCGTGTCCAACGCCCCTGCCTGAGCTGGCAACGATAGACGTGTGTAGCCAGGCAACAGTGGACGCTAGGTGCAACGGCCGAACGTCTGGACGAGATATGAACCTGCAAACAACAAACAAAACACACACACACACGTACACACACACACACATTCACGCACACACATGTACACATACAGGCACAAGCATGGAGATGCAGACCAGACAGACAAGACACGGAGACCACGCACGCGTGCGGGCGCACACACACGCACACACACACACACACACACACACACACACACACACACACATACACACACATACACACCTTTGACCTTTGACGCCCCATCTCCAGTGGAGATGATAGGCTACTGAGTTGGGCAGTACTTGATGTGACGCTTCAAATCGCCACTTCTCCTAAACGCTCTGCCGCATGCGCAAGGAAGCGTGGAGGTTGTGGACAGCTTTACCTATCTTGGCAGTGTCCTGAGTGCAGACGGTGCTCTGGACAAGGAGCTCACCTCCCGTCTTGCCAAGGCCTCTCGTGCTTTTGGCGCTCTCCAAAAGCCAATCTTCGGGTGTAGCGGCCTATCCATTAAGTCTAAGCGTCTTGTCTACAAGGCCATTGTCCTCCCTACCCTCTTCTATGGAGCAGAGACTTGGCCCATGAAGGCCCGGCAGATGAATCGCCTGAATCTGTTTCATCGCTCATGCGTCCGTTCCATCTTGGGAGTCTCAAGGAGCGATCAGCACTCCCGTCATCTAAATACTGCTGATCTAGCCCAGAGAGCGCGTCTTCCTGAGGACATTGGCGCTCTCCTGCGTGAGTACCGTCTGCGTTGGCTGGGTCATGTTGCCCGTATGGACGCGGCCCGGATTCCTCAACAAGTGTTGTTTGGTGAGCTCGAAGCAACCAGACCACGGCATGGGCCAAAGAAGCGTTGGCGAGACACGATTGTCGGTGATCTGCGCTCGCTGGATATTCCGGAGTCCGAGTGGTATCGGCTCGCACAAGATCGCCCGGAATGGCGCAGGCGGGTTCATCAACATCGTCTTCCTCCCCCGGCACCGAAGGACTTTCATTGCGCATGCGGCACATACACACACACACACACACACATACACATACACACACCACATTCACACACAGAATCGACACACAATCTAGACAGGTCCAGCATATCGGTTACCGTCCTTATCACCTGAAAATTCCAACAGAGCTCTCACTAACACAGCAGAACCTGGACTACGGGTCAGACACCCAGGCAGACAGACACCCACCCAGACAGACACCCAGGCAGACACACGCCCAGGCGGACAGACGCCCAGGCAGACACATGCCCACCCAGACAACACCCAGGCAGACAGACACCCAGGCAGACAGACAACCAGGCAGACAGACATCCAGGAAGACAGACGCCCAGGAAGACAGACACCCAGGAAGACAGACGCCCAGGCAGACAGACAGACCCCCCCCCCCCCCCCACACACACACACAGCTCACTCTTAAGGTGCGTTCTTAAATCCTCTCGGAATAGTTGGAGACTCCGAAAAGTTCGAGAGCTGTTCTTATATCCTCTCCGAATTTTAGGAGGCTCCCCAAAGCTCTCCAAGCTTCAGAGGTGGTTGAAACTTGGAGATTCCCACGGTTTGGGATCAGCGCATGCGAACTAGGCCAAAAGCCACGTGTTGATCATGAGTATACGCATTTCCCTTTTGGCATACGTACAGCGCATACTATATTCGTGGCACTCAAGATCGCGGCCCCTTTGGCGCTTCATATTGCTTGACATTTGCAAGATATCTCTGAATTCTTCGAGACCCGTTCTTTGATTATACCAGTTTCTTCGACTTCGGTTTTCTTCTTCTCCGAGAAGCTAGAGAATACAAGAACGCACCCTAACACTAACGCCTAGTCTTGCAGAAAGTAAACTCCAATTTCACCAATCTCAGGCAATCAGATATCGCTTTGAGTACAGTAAAACCTGCCAAGGTGACAGCTACAGCTACAAGCCCTGCAGACTGAAACTGGATACACTGCAGCCACAATGCAGGCACGTACTTTGCAATAAGCAGTGATGCAGCATCCCTGGACGTGTCTGTGACACTGAGGTACCTCTGTCAAACAAAACACACACACACACGCACACACACACACACATGCACACATACACACACATACACACACATACACACACACATATACACACACACACACACACACACACACACGTACAGGCACAATAGGACACAATGTCAAAACAAGCTAGCTAACTTCAATTGCATTGACACTTTCCACCAAATGCCGCAATGCACATACAACCCATGGTGTGAGAGGGCAGTGAGTGAGCTGTAATAGAAACCCAGCTCAACAGCAACCATCGGGATATATGTTGGAATCTGACAGCAGTCACTGTCACGTCCCACATAGCAGTCACGGTCCCCAAAGTCAGACATACAGCCAAAATCAGTCACACACCCGTCACAGTTTTGCCTCGTTTCAGAAACCAGTTCTGGTGTCCGAAAAACCAGTCACAGAATGCCGCGACTTGCCCTCTTTGCGATCACGCGTGCACAGAGTGAGCATGTGATATGCATGCATGCATGTACAGAGTACAACTAGCACTGCACTAGTAGCGTGACGAAGAGCGGGAAGCAACAAAAGGTAGTTTGCACGTAGATCTACGGACTGCACTAATGACTGAGTCGCGTGACGAAAGGCGGGGGAGTGACAACAGAGCTAGTTTGAAACATGAAAACGGAAAAGCGGTCCCCCTCGATCTGCTGCGCTGAGCTGTAGCTGGTGGGAACGAAATCTGTGGCAAGGGCGTGAGCACCGCCGAAATTCAAGGATCAGAGTCCGGCTACATTTTGGAGCAGGTATGAGGAAGCCAGCGCTGCTGAACTTGTTTTAGTTGTATTTCCATTAGTCTTTTCTGTTCTGGGTCTTGTCAGTACCTCTGGTGCGTTCACGGCTTCGTCACTCAAAGAAAGTCAAACTATTCGAAATTTCCGTTTCGGTACGGCAGAATCCGACGGACCAGTAGCCACCAATGTCAACCCTGACATTGCTGCTCTCACCCAGCTCCTGAAACGGCAGATGGAGACCGCCGCCACCCGCGAGCAACATCTTACGCAGCTAGTGGAGCGAACTTTGAGTAGCATTTCTCAGCCTACACCACCGCAACGTCTACCCCCGCCCCACCGGCACGCGTACCTGCGGCGAGACCAGTTTCGGTCGATCGCCCTCTGTTACTTGCCTCTGCCTCACTCGCAGAGTTTGCCGCCTGGGAAGGTCTTTGGCAGGACTACGCCCGGTGCCAGCACCTGGATTCACAGGACAAAGACACCAGATTTGCAACTGTTCGTCAGTGCCTTGACGAGGACGTCCGGAGATTTCTCCGTGAGGGCACAATTCCTCTGGCCGACAACCACGATGACGATAATCTCATCATATATTCACTTCTCGCTACTCCGCAGCATGATGGACTTCATCTTCAACTTGGTGCAGCAGATCAAGTTCTCTCCGAAGAGGCTTCACTTGTTCGACAGCATCCGGGAGCAAGTGGGTGTTGGATCCTCGGAAGTAAGTGCACCAGCATTGCGAACTCTCTGCGCCACACGCTGGACTGTCAGGCAGGGAGCCGTCAGCAGCATCCTGTCCAATTCCGAGAACCTGCAGGCAGCACTTGAAACAATTAAACAGGGTTCTGACGAATATGCTGCAAAAGGGACGAGGTTTACTTACGAAAATGGAAGCATTCCGAACCTTCTTCTCACTGAAGCTGGGGCATCTAGTGTACTCGGAAGCGGAACAGTTTTCCGCCAATTTGCAGGCGAAGGACGCCACAGTCCAAGAGGCTGTTCGTGGCAGCAGTCTTCTGGTGAAGCATTTGAAGAGCCTTCGCACAGATGCTGCATTTGATAGCTTTTATGAGCAGACACTGCCTGAGCCCAGTAGCCTGACAGCGGGGCCGGTTGCGCCCACACCTCGCAAGAGACCCAGACGTAATGATAATGGTAGCGCACCCTATCAGTTTGCTACTGCCAAAGACGAGTATCGGCATAATATATTTCCTATTGACTACGAGGTGAATAGCAATTTCTGGACATGAAAATAAAATAGAGGCCCACTGGCTGTGTGTTTTACATTTTTCATATCTTTTTGTATCTATTGTATGGCTTAATCCTTCATCTTTCCAAATATGTGACAATTGCTCATGCTGTGATCCCAGAGACTTTATAGCAGGATGTTTTCGACAGGCCATTTTTTTGGCCTAAATTTCAGTGTATCGAATTCTGGACATGAAAGTAAAATAGCGTCAATAGGCATCCTATACTGCACCATTTTTGTTATTTTTTCTATTGGTGGACTGCAGTTGGCCTCTTCACACTTCCAGCTAACAGGTCCAAGACTATACAGCGTCTGAAGTGGAGTGCACATGGGGAAGCCAACAATTCGTCCATTACTTCTTATTTTACTCAAAATTCAAAATTCTCATGCGACATAGTACCACAAAACTCGTTGCAATGCCTCCCAAGAAAAGGCTATCAACAAGGCACCGACACGAGGAGAAACTACAACAGCCCAGCTGTCAACTACAACAAGAAAAAACTTCATCAACCTGACTGACTTGACTCTACACGCGACGAAAAATTATTTTACTCGAAATGTCCAGAAATGTACAATGTCCAGAAATAGCAATTCACCTCGTACTCTCTCATTTTCTCGAGTACAGCTTTATCGAGCCACATTTTTTTTTATTCTATCGCCATCGTAATTGGGCATCAATGCCCACTTGGTTTGCGATGTAAAGTTGTAAACTAAAACTTCAAACATACAAATAAAGTACATGCAGCAGTTGAGGATGGTGGTAGAAGCTACCGCTTGTGGCAGGCAGAATACGATACTCTACCAGGTAGCTAAAAACGAACGTAGCCTTAGGGGGCGTTCGTTTTTGATCTACAGGTTTTGGTAGAAACTACTTCTTCCGGTAGAGGTGTTCGGTTTTTTTCTACTCAAAAGCGTAGATTCTACTTTCCTCTACCAGCTCTACCAGGAAAAAGTGGGTAGAAGCTGGTAGAAGTTGGTAGAGCTGCGGGATTTCCAGCCAGCTCAAGGATTTGTACACAACTCCATACAGAAGAGAAACATTTCACGTACATATCGTGTAAAACTACTAAAGCCGGTAGGACAGCGTTTGTGCCCTTACCTCTACCTTTTACCTCTATCGGTAAAATGACTCCACTCTACTCTACCAGGTAGCTAAAAACGAACGCAGTCTTATACAGTCATCCCTCTCTAATCCGGCACCTTTTGCAACGGCATTTTCTGCTGGATAAACCAGGGTGCTGGATTATCAAATCCTGCCCTCCAACCCGGCCCACCTGTTAACATACATGTTGGTGTCGTACGTCAAAACGTAGGGATTTTCTGTGTCAAACCAAGTACTTTGTGGAATGCATGTCTTTAACATACACATGGGAATATCCTGTGCACTGGCATAGGATGTTCCCACGTGTACGTTACATGTGTTGTGTATGTTGCAATGCTCCCTGACGGTATGCGATGTGCAACTGCTGGATTAGAAAATCAAATTATGTACAGTTTGAGTGATTTGTTGCAGAAAATCGCTGCTGGAGGCGGAATTCAAGTGCCGGATTAAAGCGTAGAAAATGAACTGAAAAATCCGTTTTGCCAGAAAGTGTGCTGCTGGTTTGCAAGGGTACTGGATAAACAAGTGCCGCATTTATAGAGAGGGACGACTGTACTCCAAAAAATACAGGACTGTGGTCAAAATAAAAACAAAAAAATCCTTCGAGCCGGATTCGAACCAGCGACCTAAAGATGACTGCACATCCCAGCGATGCGCACACTACAGTCTTCCGCTCTACCAACTGAGCTATCGAAGGGGACAAGATGTGTGCACAGCTTCGACAATCATAACTGCTGGACCGGCAAGTTTTCAAGTCGAGAACTCACCTTTGCCACATCTAGAATTCGCTCCATGATCGGCAGCTGTCGCCCACCACCGGCTGCTGCAGAGTCAGCGGAATCACTGGCGCCAGACTGCCCCCCGTCAAACAGCTTCATGTCGAACGGAACGAGAGAGATGATGGTCAACCAGAGCAGCAGCACGTAACGTGTCTCCCACGTCTGTAAGTACAAGACAAACAAATTCACAGTTTGCGTGAAACTCGGCTAGAGGGTGGTGGCCTTCCCACGAATAAGGAAAACTCGGTCTCTACGTACAAGACAATAGCAATTCAAAATATCTCGTGGAGATAAAAAAGATTTTCAAGCAATACATGTCACAAGTTTAACACACAAATTGACTGTCACCACCAGGACTTGAACCAGGGACCTTCGCTTGAGGCCAGCGATGCTCCAACCACTGAGCTATGGTGTAGCTGTCATCCCAGCAAAGACCAGTTCGAAGTGCAGGTGCGTAGCCCACATGGAGCACGGGGGGGGGGGGCATGTGTAGCGCCTAAAACCGTCGGCCTACATTGTAGGTTCAGCATGCATAATGACCTTGAATGACATGCACCAGCCATCCTACACATACCGATATGCGGCCGTGCAACCCCCCCCCCCCCCCCCAGGGGGACCAGCTACGCCTCTGAAGTGCGTACGAAAACCAAGAGCCATGTCTAGCTTGCACTCACCTCATGGTCTCTGGGATTCTGTGCATTGAGCAATGCCTGATTTTCAAGATGCACTATCAGCACATAAGCCTGGTTTTAGTGTTGACATACATAGAAATATCTGGCTCAAACAATAGGAGGACAGAGAAATCATCAGAAAACAGTTTTCTGATGATCGCTTAGTGCGTGAAACTCGGAGTAAAAACACTTTCTCTGTCCTCCTATTGTTTGAACCAGCTCTACCTCTCAGTATTGAGCACTCTCTTGGACAGCCTGGAACCTCTCTGTTTTTAGAAATATCTGGTTCGAACTGAAGCCAAGTACTGGTGTCGGCTTCTACGGGAATGCGCCCGGCTTAAATACGCGACATTACGGTACATGTACAGACACCAAGAGCCACGTCGCGCTCACACTCACCTCGTGGTCTCTAGGATTCTGTGCGTTGAGCAGCGCCAACGCCGGCTCTAGATCGGCCACCTCGTGGCTGAGCAGACGCACAATGTACTTGCGTCCGCGCACCTTTGTCAGCTGATACACGTACTTGAATGCCTGGTGGCGTACGGACTCTGTGGACTGCGGCGAGCAGCCATACTCCATCAATATGCGAAGCATGGTCTCTGCAAATGGTAGCAGGAAAGAACGAGACAAAATGAAAACGCTCTCTGGTTACCTTTCCGTGGGCTTTGTTGGAACTTGTTTGTGTTTCAATGAGGGCACAACTTGTCTTGCTGATAGACAAAATGCAGGAAACATTTAGCTAAGTTGCCAACCGGTTTCAGCAGCCACCCGGCCTATGTGTGTATATAGAGCAGGTACACATGTCTCACATGACCATAAAAGGCAGCCATACTCAATCAGTGTATGAAGCATGGTCTCTGCCAATGGTAGCAGAAAAAAAAGAAGAGACGACAAAAATGCAGGTAAAACCTAACTTTCCTAAGCGTTCAGACTACCGATAATAAGTGACGGAATGGGAACGTTTGCAAGGTGATTTGATCACGTGACGTTACTGGCACTTTGCCGGCGGAAACGTTGTACTGCCGCAGTGGAAACAGCATCCCGGCAGTAAAAAGATGCCCAGGCTGGTAGTAAGGGAAAATCCCTCCTCAATGCCGCCGCGGCGAGAGCTGCACAAGTAACATTAGTTTACCGGTAGTGCGAATGTCCTTCATGGCTTATCACCATTCACGGTTTGACAGGGTTCTCGGTAGTTTGAACGTACTCGCAAGGACCGTGGGATGTTATTTCCAGTCAAACGACCCTGGATAAGGAGGCCACCTGCACCCGGGAACTACATTGGTCCTCTGAGCGGTGGTCGGCTTAGACAGATGATGCAACTCAAAGTAATTCAACTCCAAACGTTCACCCCTGAGGCTTCATCGGGAACAAGAAGAAGAATGAACACAAAGCTGACTAACTAGGAGTATACATCAGAAAAACAGTGAAGAACTGGGACCAGCGTGGAAGTTCACACAGAAACCCTGCCGCTAAAAACCAAATGGAACAAATAAGGTGTACCAGAATCACGCAGAAACTCTCACACAAGAGCAGTGGCGCTAAAAATGGAACTAAACCAGCAAGGTGATATGCCACGCCACATCCATGGACGCGAGGTGTAAACAACTAAGACTAAACAAGCCATGTGAGAAGGGAGGGGGACTAGAACGAGCAAAGAATGCAACAAGGGACATGAATCAGCTAGGGGCTACTGTAAAGTGAGAAACTTTCGCTACAGATTAAACGAGAGAGCTTGGAAGCTCAGGGCCCTACGCTATGCTTTTTTGCCTTGATGACCTAGACAAAAAAAGCATAGGGATGTTATAAATTCTTATAAATTTCTACTTTTTGTTTTTAGACATAACCTGTGATTCGAACCCGCACTATCGCCCTGCATGCATCCCCCGATACACTTGGCATACATACTAATTCTTCCAAGTTGCTTCACGTTATGATCTTGTATTTGAAAGCCCTATTTGAATATGCATTGTGGCCAGCCGTCTTTGATTGTACGGTACGGTACGGGACAGGTACGGGACAGATACGGGACAGGTACGGTCGAGGGTATTACGACACCATCTACCGCCTTGATGACGGCAAAAAAAGAATAGGGATGTTATAAATTTTTCAATTTTCCTTTTTTTTCAGGCATTCCCTGGGATTCGAACCCGCACTATCACCCTACATGCATTCCCCCATACACTTCGCATTCATACTCATTCTTCCAAGTTGCTTCACGTTATGATCTTGCGTTTGAAAGCCCTATTTGAATAGTGCGGCCAGTTGTATGTGGCCGGCTGTGTTTGATGGTACGGTACGGTACGGGACAGATACGGTATAGCGCCAGGCGTGACACAAACACACAAACAAACAAACACCGAATTAAAGCTGTGTGGACCCTGGCTAGCGCCAGACGTTACTGACGTAACGTCTTCTGCATAGCTACGGGAATAATTTAATTTCAATATTTAGGCGACCATCACACATTCGCGAATATAACCGCCGCAAACTGCTCCGTACATGATTGTAGACAGTAACATATCCAACTGAAGAGATAAATCGCCAAAGTTTCTCATCGTGAACCAGCCCAATTCATGAAAACGCAAAAGTTTATCGCTTTACAGTAGGCAAGAGGAGAGTGAGGGAATCTTACGCCAATGTCAGTTTAAACATGGCAAAGGAACAATGGTCATTATGCTGTACTTGATGGCTACTGTATTTCACAAATTTCCGGTGCATCTGCTTCATAGCTAAAATTTCAGTACACCGAACAAACACTAGCATACATAATCCAATAGGAAACCGCTTCTCTGTACCTAAAATTTCTGTTCACCTAACCTGGCCTTTTGCCCTACTGAGCATCTAAAATTTCTGAAATTAGACTATCCTCACATACTGTACACACACTGACTGTTTTTATTACAATCTGCGGAATGTGAGAAAAACAATGGACGAAGAACTCAACGCATTCAAATGTACATGTAGTATGCTCACATACTACTATGATAGTAGTACTAGGGGAGAGAATGACCTCCTTGGCAGGGAGGCGTGCTTAGGCAAAGCTTCTCTTCACCTCGCAACGTCATTAAAATATGGAAAAACAGCTGAATATACATAATTATGATACAGTTGAACATCGATTATCCGCACATCGACTATCCGACCATTCGATTATCCGTAACAGTTTTTTGGGCGCACGTGCCGTAGAGTACGCACTGTGCATGTAGTGAGCCATTCAAAAAATACGAACATTTTGAAAAGTAAAAAGTAAAAAGGTCGTGCGGCTAGTAATAACCACTGAAAGTGTGTGAGTGACAGATTTTTCTTATCCGGAACATTTGCCTTATCTGAACACCGCCTGACAGTTGTCTGCCCAGAGGTGGTCGGATAATCGATGTTCAACTGTAAGACGAATATGAAAAGAAATGATGGAATACCTTGGTACCGAGAAACAGGTACAGTTTGTCTTTGAGCTGGTCAAATTTACAGTTCAGGGCATGCAGCATTGATTGAGATTAGAATGGCTACGAGGGCTTACCCATGTGTGGATCGAGAAGATGAGGCTGCTCTTGATAGTTGTTAGTAATGACTGGAAAATCCGCAAAGCAACACAATCAGTCATGCGCGCACGCACACACACACACACACACACACACACACACACACACACACACACACACACACACACAAGCATGCACACACACACACACGCGCGCGCACGCATGCACACACACACACCATCAATGCCACGAACGGCACCATGAGACGGCACTGGAGCACAACTACGGTTGGCTAGGCCACAAGATGCACAAACAGTGTACATGTAAGGGACAGTAAAACCTTTCAAGGTGACCACTCTGATAGGGCGACCACCTGTCCTCAAAGACCATTACAACCAGGAGGACCAAGGGATGTTGTTTCCAGTCAAACAACCCTGGACAAGGAGACCGCTTGCACACAGAGACTACATTTCGAAGGTCATTGAGCGGTCGGCTTAGGCAGGGTACTGTACATACAAGACGGCAATGAATGATCATCAAACATGCGTGTAAACACCAGTAAACAGTAATAGACGGCAGCCACAGAACACTGAAGCCAGGCTAAGCCAACCGCTCAAGGTACAGTCAGACCTCGTCTAACCGCACACATCCGTTTTCCACAAAAAAATATCAGGACAGGCGAGGGAACCGGATAATCAAACACACACTGTATGTATGCATGGCATATGCTGTAAATCGGTAGCCGGCGATTTTCTTCCGGATGGCGATGGATCCGGATAAAAGAGGACCGGATAAGCGAGGTCTGACTGTACCATACAAATGCGGTCCCGGTGCAAAGGTGGTCTTCTTATCCAGGGTCATTTGACTGCACAACTCCCTGGTCCTGGCTTCTTCATGCGATGTGGATGCCGGGAGCGACGAAGCTTTTTCAGCCTTTTTGTACACATTTGAACCTGTGTGTACACAAAACCATGCACTTGTATGTGGACTGCAAAGTCCGGTTATGTTGCATGCACCATGTCCGCTGTAAATTGATTACCGGCTCGGTTGAGAATTCTCTCTGGTTAGCGTCAAAGGTATTTGCCCTCGTGCGAAGCTCGCTGTGTTTATCGCAGTTAGAGCAACTTGACTTTGATGCCTTGAGCCGGTTTATTCATTCGACTTTATTGCAATCAGTTCGACCAGTGACTCTTAGCTCTACTGACAAGGTATAACAAGGTCGCAACAGGTAACTTTCCAGAGAATCAGAGATTGAGTGTACTACAATGACTTGTGGTATGATTACATTACACAGATAACAGTTATCCCATAGTATGCAGGGTTCTAGCCAAAGGGGGTAGGGGGCACAGCCCCCCCCCCCCCCCCCCCTACTCTGATTGAGTGCCCCCCCCCCCCCCCCCCCCCCTACTCTAATTGAGCCCCCCCCCCCCCACTCATTTGTCGATGTTGTGTCTTTTCATGCCTTTCAACGAAAATGCAGTCTCTAGTCACTACTACAGTCAGACCTCGCAAAACCGCACACATCCGTTTTCCAGAAAAATATCCGGATAGGCGAGGGAACCGGATAATCGGACACGCATGCTGTATGTGTACATGGCATATGCTGTAAATCGGTAACCAACGATTTTCTTCCGGATGGCGAGGGATCCGGATAAACGAGGCCCGGATAAAGGAGGTCTGACTGTACTGTAAAGGGTTCACAACGGCACATTTGTGTGGACTGTGAAGTCGTGTGTTCGCCCCAGAACGTTGCATTTGGCATGTTGCATTTGGCATGGCAAGACACTTTTAGAAAACGGAACAATGGGTTACGGGGTAACTGTTTCCCCTGCCCCCCCCCCCCCCTCCCCTACTCTTTTTACCTGGCTAGAACCCTGGTATGTTACACTCACCAGGGGCGTCGGACACGGTACGGTCACTACGGTATTGACCGTACCACTTTTTGCCCCAGGTACCCTGTGAATGAATAAAATACACTGATCTGGGACCTAAATTTCCAAAATTTTCGGCTCAGCCGACACCCCCCCCCCCCCCACGAGTAAATTGTACTTAAGATGGCTGACAGTACCACACTAAAATACCTTCCGACGCCCCTGATCACACATTTCACAGTACAATCAAAAAAGCCATGTACTCTTGTGTACTCTACTGTACTGTTTCACCGTATCTGTTAACTGTTACTTACACGCAAACCTTTCCAGTCTGGCCTCGTCCGGCAAGCTAGGCAGGCCAGAGATGATGCGCAACAGCTCGTCTTTCTCCACGCAGTATTCCAGAGCGCTGCCGATGCCACACCTGTCATCTGCCATTGAATCACCTTCGGTGGGTTTGCTACTAGTACTACTGACCTTCGCCATGTTGGCCGACTGCACTCTCCCAAAACTTTCAACAAGCTAATTGCAATAGGAACACTTCATTTCTCCAGAAACGATCCACAGTAGAAGACCTCGACTCAGCAAAGGAAAGTTTAGCAAAAACAGAAAAATGTTCCTTTCAGAAAATGCAAACAGTGCATTTATTTTCTCTTTCACTTCAAACTGAAGTCAAAACGAAGTAAAAAGAGCGGCATATGCCGCAGATCCACGTGGATATATGCGTGCATCATCGATGACGCATGACGCCAAGCGGGCGCGTCCAGCCGTCCACGCCGTCCTGCTTTCATGCTATGGCAACGGACTCCTGAACTGTACACGTGGGCCAAAACTGCAAAAGAAAACAGAATCGATCATGCTCGTTGTATTGAAGATGACGATCGATCGTAGATCTACGACTTCAAAATCTGCTTTCACACTTCACCACTTTTCACTTTTCTGTTTGTCGAGAATGGCGCTGTCTTCCCTGTACAGAATGACTACAAGACATAGTCATAGAATAGCATATTGATATTGAAACCCATGATTCCTGGGCGATAGGCTGGCTTTTTTCTTTCTCAAGTCAGCCAGTTTCCGGAGGTCGAATATACAAGGGGAGGGAGATGATTTCTCTCAAACTCCTATTTTTCCAGTCGTTGTCCTTTCTGTTTTTATTCTCAAGGTCAGTTTTGTCATGCATTGATTTGTTCATGCCATGGGGCTTAGTCCCATTCCCTGTATGCAGGTAGAATTTGCATGATGGCAAATTGCATGTACCTTTTGAACGTGGTGCATAGTTCTAACAACAAACTAATATTGTAATAGCTCAGCTGCCCTTGCCTGTGAAACTCTGAATAAGAACTGAACGAATCTTGCAGCTACTTGAAGTACAAGTATTGCCAATATCAAATCATCATTGTTGATCCACATGTGTTGAATAGCACAATGATCACACAGCAATGAAGCAAACGAATCTGTTTCCGCCGTTACGCGGAGTTTCGTGTGAATCACTCATCAGACAGCATGTGCTGTCTAATGAGATTTGTTTGCTTCATTGCTGTGTTGAATAGCATATACATGCATACTAATGTAAATCAAGACTTCATACATGTACATGGTTATGACTCATGAGTGCACAATTAGTTTTATTCATTGCCGTTTTACGACTATTGTCTCCTCGTAGGTTATTGAAAGACTATTTTGTATGCTTTGTGGGCTGTTTATGTTACACTGTAGACCATCACGATGTGAGTTCATCAAGCTAGCTACCAACAAGGAGTGTCCGCATCCCGGCAGCCAGGATGGCAACTCTCTGCCGCCACTCTTCCAGGCCGCCAGTGAGGACAGTGAGTACGTGGCTGACTACCCGGACGGCCACGTGTCGGAACTCACGCGCATGATCCACCATTATGAGTACGTGGCGGTTATGATGTACGCGCCGTGGAGCTCCTACTCGGCGCGCGGTGCCAGAGTGTTTGCCAGTGTTGCGCGCGGCATCAACACCGACGTAAGTGAGCGTGTTCTGCTTGCCTCAAACTACTGTAATTTCACAAATTCTCAGTGTACTTTTATTTTCGGTACTTTCGGTGCATCTGTTTCATACCTAAAATTCCAATACACCAAACAAACACTAACACACATAATCCAATAGGGAACTGCTTCTCTGTACCTAAAGTTTCTGTTCACCTAACTTAGCCTTTTGCCCCCATACCGAAAATATTGAGCGCCTAAAATTTCTGAAATTAGAGTATTCTCGATGCACTCCATACAGTGCTGCCTGGTGCCACAGAACAAACAGGCTAGAATTTCATCAAGCACAGGATGCCAATGTATACACGATGACTCAACTGCGCATAGACTGCTGTGCGTGAAAATAAGAGCGGTCTAGGCTAAGAGGCTGACGCTCCAGTTCTTCGATGACCAATAGTACTCTAGTCCCACTGGTAACTTGACAAGGCACCTATGTTTTGGGTGTTGCGACCAGATGTGTGCAATAGCAGTGTACTGTAAACTGCCTAATGTTTGCGATGTATTTTATCATTTTATGTTTGCTAATTTTGCGAGAAGAGCATATCGCTAATATTAACCATCGTGAAATCAAACTTCAACAGTGTGCGTATATGTGTGGCCACAGTGCTCCGCGAACACATTTACCATCGTAAACTCGCTGGTTCTGAGAGATCGCAAAAAAATTAGTGACGCAAACATTGGGCGGTTTACAGTATTGGGAGGCCGTCGTTCATTTGCTTCTCCCAGAACCGTTTACTGTGTGTATCACATGATTTATTAACTGTGCTTCTGCTGCTGCTGCTGATGCTGGTGCTGGTGGTGCTGCTGCTGGTGGTGGTGCTGATGCTGCTGCTGCTGGTGGTGGTGGTGGTGGTGCTGCTGCTGCTGCTGCTGCTGCTGCTGCTGCTACTGACCTTGCCATTCTACCATACACAGCCTATCACCAGTGGCCGGATGCAGTTTGTAGCTGTGAATTGCTGGTGTGTGACGGGACAGTGCCGACAGCTCTTGCTCAGCCAAACCTTCCCGGCTCTGTTTGTGTATCGGCGTGGAGATCTCACGAAGCCGGCCAAGTTCCTCGGCCACCTCTCCCCGTCATCTTGGCCTCTGGTGAGTGACCAACACGCACACGCACCCACACACACACACACACACACACACACACACACACACACACACACACACACACACACACGTACCAGCGCACATCAATACAGGTGGATTGTCAAGCAGACATGCATCAATACACACCTACACAGAGAATACACACGCCAGATTATTCAACCCACGCGTGGGTGGCCGTAGACACACACACGCGCACATGTCTACTGCCGAGAACAACATTACCTGAACCCGTGTTCGCTATTCGTTGTGTGTGTGCGTGTGTGCATGCGTGTGTGCGTGTGTGTGTGTGTGGGGGGGGGGGGGGGGGTGCGCGCGTGTGTGTGTGTGTATGAGTGTCACTGTGTATACATGCATGCATGCATTTGTGTGTGTGTGTGTGCGTGTGCGTGTGTGTGTGTGTGTGTGTGTGTGTGTGTGTGTGTGTGTGTGTGTGTGTGCGCGTGTGTGTGTGTGTGTGTGTGTGTGTGTGTGTGTGTGTGTGTGTGGTTTGCTTGGATAGACGCTGTTCCTGCGCATTGTACTGAAACCAGTTACTCTGATCAAGGATACCAGCATGCTGAAACACACCCTTGCTCTGCATGAGGTAAGCTGTTGTATCTTCCCTTACCCAGTAACTGTCTACTATAGACCTTATTCGATAAACGTCACAATCACGTGAACCGGAGTCCCAGGAACCAGGGAGTGACAAGAGACCTGCACTCAGTGCACAGTGGACTCGGCGTGGGAACATATGAGTAGAAAAATACCGGTATTTTACTACTCCCTTGTACGAACTGGGCCTTTCTTGCCACTCGTTTCACGTACGCGTGCCCCAGCTTACGACAAATCCCCGGGGGCAAGTCCAAAAATCACGTTATCGAATAAGGCCTATAGCAGACAGTCACTGGATATGACTTTTTGGGTGAACTCTGCGGGCTTCTACATGAGCCAGGCTTCTATACAAGACAGGTATTTCTATGTATGTCAACACTAAAACCAGGCGTATGTGCCGACTGTGTATCTTGAAAAACAGGCTTCTATATGAGACAGGCCTCTATATGAGATAGGCTTTAATACAAGACAGGTATTTCTATGTGTGTCAACACTAAAACCAGGCTTATGTGCCGACAGGGTATCTCGAAAATCAGGCTTCTATTCAAGACAGGCTTTAACCCTCTCACTACCAGCCATTCAAATATCGATCCATGTGGTTTGATGCAATAGGCGATCACTAAATATTTCGTCACACGCTCAACTATTGTCGGATTATTACAAATGATGGCTCTACGTCTTCAGAAACACCTTGACTATCGACTGCAACTATCACTTTCACTCCTTGGTCCATAATTGGCACACGACGAAGTATTTTGTAGACTGTGAATTGACTCAATTGCGAAAATAATGGGTAGTGAAAGGGTTAAATACAAGACACTAAGGTAGATCCCATGCCCGCTGCAGAGGCATTCACTCTCTATGCACATGCAGTCATTAATAATTACGGATGAGAGATTACGTGACATTAATGGTTGAGAGCGAAGTGTGCTGCATGCAGGGGATCACGGGTGCTCTTTGTGTTTCTTTGTTGTTGTTGTTGTTGTGTGCAGAACGTTGTACTAGGTCATGCTCCCAGTGAACAGATCTCAACCGACAACACTGGTGGTGGTGATGGTGCTGATCAACATGCTGCTGCTTATAAGGTGCTGCGCGAGGCAGCCTGGACAGCTCTTCTGCAAGGTGAGCTGGCCTTGCTGCTGCTGTGTATGTGTATGTGTGTGTGTGTGGGGGGGGGGGGTATGGGTGCTGCGTGAGGCAGCCTGGGGAGCCCTTCTGCAAGGTGAGCAGGTCTTGCTGCTGTGTGTGTAGGAGGTATGGGGGGGGGGGTACGGGTATACTTATGCCCCTGCCTATGGAGGGATGATAGCGAACAAGCTATGTTAGACATAGCAACTTGTGCTGGGATTACACCATTCAACAGCTTGCAAAGCTGATGCATTGACCGCCACTAATTTTGTATTGGGGGGGGGGGGGGGGTATGCATGTGTGCACATGCGTGCATGCATGTGAGGATAGGGGTATCAAACATGCCTACACTAGATCATCTAGCCAAAGTGTGTTGTGCGCCAGCAAAATCAACACATAGCCAGCAATCGTATGTCATCACGTACATTGAAAATCAACATAATTTCGCGAATCGACCTTTTTTTCAGGATCACTTTTCAACGAGGACAAAGCAAAGTCGGCCGAACGAAGCCTAGAGGAAGAAAATCGCCCTCTCCACTTCACCATCACGATACTGACATAGATACGAGATGAAACAACTGAAAAATCCACAAGAAAACTGTACGGCCATCATCGCGCTGACTTTGGTCTGACTTTGGTCTGAGAATTTCTATCACGATCAAAAATGTATGAGGAGCACTCAAAAATAAGCCACAGACGTACCTTTATCGCTCTCTACTCCTTTTTCAAGGCACAAAAGTCGACTCTCCACTTTGAAACCAGGAACCAGACATACCAGTGGTCCTTTTCAGCTGCTCCACGAGCGCAGGAAATGTTCACCAAGGGGCGCAGAGCAGCATCCATTCCAGAAAAAGAGCTAAAATACGAGTGAGACTGCATGCCTGAGTACATGAGTACATGCAGAAAATAGTCAATTTCAGCGTTTCTGCTCCAAACAGCAACAAGCTTCGACTAGAAACAAAGATTACACCAAAGGATCAAACAACAACCATTTTCTGCAGTTTTTTTGCAGATGGCTTCCTTGTGCTTGGCCCAGCACGCCAAAAATCACACCTCGGAGGAGTACAAAAATTACAACTCTCAGATGTCCTCGATTGCTGGCCATGAAAAATATGCGCGATCACAAAGTCGCTACGGATGCACTGACGCGTGCAAGATTTGCAATGCTCTGAGCTCCGCTAGCGAGACCTAACAAAGTCGAACCGGCTAGCTACCCAGAGAGTGAGAAAGATTGAGTATATAGAGGATTTTCTGCTTGCTTCACATATGGAATAGAAAGAGGTGGCAAAATAGCCAATTTTTTCCAGAAAATGTACCGTAAAGTACCGTTGATCCGCCCCCCCACGCCAAGTCGCTTCCCAGCTGGTTTTTCGGCAGGGGGCGGGAATTAGATCAATGCTGTCAAGTGCAGTACGATGTACAACAACTTGGAGGATGAGACCAACGGTACTTTACGGTACATGTTTCTCTCTTCGGAGCATTTTGCTTGTCCCCTTCGATAGCTCAGTTGGTAGAGCGGAAGACTGTAGTGTGCGCATCACTGGGATGTGCAGTCATCTTTAGGTCGCTGGTTCAAATCCGGCTCGAAGGATTTTTTTCCAATTTTTTTATTTTCCATTTCTGCCCTTTCTCTAATTTCTTCACACTCACAACAGTCTGTTGAAGGGCCAGCATGTCCCTCACGAGGCGCTTGAGTTCCTTATTTTCCTCACCCAGCAGCGTCCTTTTTTATTCTTTTATTTTATTTTTACAAAACCCACGCGGTGGAGGTTTTATTTTCGGTGACTTCGGTACAAAATTTTAACTCGGATAGTACGGATACTGAGCCAATAATAAAATGTAAAAACATGCCATGGTCATTTTCTGCACAAGTTTAGTCACATGACAAACTGATGTGAACAGACCACTCTATGGGTCACATGATGTCGGCCATATTGGTTCCACCAAGCGTACCCGGTACATAACCAAGAGTGTGCAACTCCTATCTTGAGCTGCGATGGGTTCACCCACGGCGGAATTTTTTATTGCGTCATTCTTTGGCAGAAGCATGACGAAGTGGGTATGCTTTCCCGCGCTTGTTTTGTAGATACGGTGAGAGTTCGTCAGGTTCAAGACACATCGATCTATCGTCCGTTGTTCTGCTTCGACTACCGTAGCCAGTGGCGGATCCAGGATCCGAAACAAGGGGGGCACACTACAGGCTCAATGGAACAAGTTTACTTTTACAATGACTTTTGTCATACTCGAACATGTAAATGTATGGGCACTATTGGTATAATATAACAATCAGCAATTGTACCAACCAAACGGAAAAAGACCTGTTTTATGTATTGATGTAATTATTTAGTTCAAGTTGTATAGTAAAATGATTAATTTCTAATGCTGGTATGCAAGTGTGAAATACTCGTACTATTAGTTCAGCTAGCAGCAGTGATTGCGTTGGAAAGCAGCCAGCACTTGATACTTCGTGGCAAACAGCACTCACCACACACACGTTTGGAAATCAAGGCGAACAGATTCAAGACCAACAGATTGGGAAACTTGTTCTAACAACCTAGTATGGCATAGTAGTGGCTGGACTTGATGTTCTTCACAATGGCGTCGCGAATCACGTCACCCATGCACTGGAGCAGATCATTCTACGATGTCTTTGATATGTAGGTGGCATTCCTGCCGCAGGATGCCAGGTGCTCTTCCAACACCGTATCACCGGAGCTGACGCGGAAATTTATGACGGCTTTGAGCTTGCCTTTGTGGAACTCATCCTCGGCAGTACTATCATCACGGTGGCCTCTGAGAACAATCCCTTGCCTGCCACATAGTTCCAAACACTTTGTTATGGAGCCGATAACCTTGCGATTCTTCTCCATTCGCTGTTGGGTGATAGACGATAGCTGACAATCGATACGAGCAGCTGGCTTCTCCATACTCTTGCAGAATGCTGCTAGCTTTGTGGCAGAGTCCAGGTGATACTGCAGCTTCTCGTGCTGCTTCAGATCAGCTACAGCATCTTTCCAATTGATCAAGGGCTTGGACACGAGGATGGAAGCTTTCCTCGCACCACCATGCGCAGTTGCAGCAGGGAAGAGAACGCATGGTAGACAGAAAATCCCTTTCGCATTCTCCGAGTAGGAAATAAAATCAAACATTGCAAACCAGTCGCGTTTGCAGTGCCTCGTGTAAACACCGCTTGTTCTCTTGGAGTCCTTGTACTCTTTGGACGGCAGGACGACGTCTGGACCCGGAGTGCGATGATGAACAAGCCGAAGCTTGACATCAGGAGCGAGAGTTGACGCTGTAGACGCCAGATCTCCAATGTCATTCGTCTCCAGGCCAGTCACAGCAGCAGCAGCTAATGCACCTGGCGGTGTCTCTTCGACTTGTACACTACCACTCAAAGTACGACTCTCACTCTCACCGACAACTGGAGACTCGGTGATAACTTGTTGGTTCGAACTGTCATCGTCCTCCATCACTTCCAGTTCAACTGCATTCTGACAATCCATGTCCTCGGCTGACGACGCTGCGATCTGCTCCGTGGGGGGACTGGACTCTACGACATTTACAACATAACATCCTCACGAGCGGCACATCCACTAGCAGCTGTCCTAGCTTCCTTCGCAGGTGGCAGCGAATCAAACGAGATAAGTTGCTTCCTTCTCTTCATTTTCGAACTGCTGTAAAACAACGAGGTTCTGGAACGCCAAGGCAAGTGAAGTTTGCAAGGCAAGGGCAGGAAAATCTACGCATTGCCATGCGAAGTTTTGGACTGTGTACTTGCACTTGTACCGTCTTTGTTTTCGTACTACGAGTACAGTGCAGTACTAGACCAAAACCGTAGTTCTGGTGCGCACGGATCGCGGATCGCGGAATACAGATCGACGCGACGAGAGTTGACAGTTCACAAGTTCAGTACACGCGTACCGCGTATCGATCTACGGACCCGGTGAACCAGTGCATGAATGTGTACAGTGCATGCAGTACAGCGACTGGGCCTTGTCATCTACACAGGAAGTGCGCGCGAGCTCGGTTTCGATCGAGATCAGTAAAAAAAAAAAGTCGGTCCTTCTGAAGGGGGGGGGGGGCACGTGCCCCCTTCGCCCCCCCCCCCCCCCTTTAAATCCGCCACTGGTAGCTGTACATGTACTGTACAAATCATTTTGTACTTTGATCTCTGGCTACGCATGATGGCATCAGTGAGCCAAACCGCCGCCAAAGACTGATGTCATAAAAAAACTTCCCCCGTGAGCTGGGGGATCGTCGAGTTGCACACTCTTGGTTATGTTCTCTTGGTTCCACTCATTCCACTGTCCACGTGACATGGTCACATTCAACACGAATCTAGTAACATGACAAAGATCCGTACGTCATTCAATGCCGTATCCTGTGTTCTTGCACCCATGCCTGTAGGCTCGCAGCCACTCTACGATGTCCAGTACGGCGTCACGAGCAGCCCGACGGTGGCGCGGTTTCTCAATCTGACGTCGGTGCCACCGTCGGTTACCCTGCTGACCGCGATAGGAGAGAGAAAGGTGGGTCATGCTGTGCAGGAGTGGTGCGCTAACTCTTCGCTAAGTGCGGCGAACTATACTACCACAGTTATTCCATCATCGCCAATTGGTCTCATTTGCTTGTATGTTGTTACTCGAAGTGCGAAAACTATGGATTGTAAAACAGAATTTGTGTGAGTGTTTTCTGTGTGAGTATTTTCTTTCTCCTACAAGATTGTGTTAACCGTTAGGTAACCTGGCCTTGGTTCAGTGAAGCCGGTGACAATGTTGTTCTCTCTGTACACTGCCTGTGTGTGTGTGCGTGCGCGCGCGTGTGTGTGTGTGTGTGTGCGTGTGTGTGTGTGCATGTGTGTGTGTGTGTGTGTGTATGTCTTTGTATGTGTGTGTGTGCGTGTGTGTGTTTGTGTGTCTGTCTGTCTCTCTGTACATGTGTGTGTCTGTCTCTCTGTCTCTCCGCCTGTCTGTCTGTGTGTGTGTGTGTGTTGTGTATTTGTAGGAACTCACTGGCAGGATCCGCCGTGCCGATATCGAGCACCTTGCTGCCGGTGCACCGCCAAGTGTACGTTTAGAGTCATACAGGTGTTGAAGTGTCATCTGTGTGTTTTATGTTCCCTCTTCCCTAACCCACATCATACGGGATGGGTGTGCGTGTGGGTGTGTATGTGTGTATGTGTGTATGTGTGTGTGTGTGTGTGCGTGTGTGCGTGTGTGTGCGTGTGCGTGTGTGTGTGTGGGTGTGTGTGTGTGTGTGGGGGGGGGGGGGTGTGTGTGTGCATGCGTGCGTGGATGCATGTGTATGTGTGTGCATGGGTGTGGGTGGGTGCGTCGGTGCGTTGGTGCGTGTAAAGAGCCAGAAATGTGATTTACTCAAATTTGGAAGAAATGTGCATATAAATTGTTGCGTTCCTCAAGCGTCACCTGTATGGCTTCTACATTATGTGCATACCGGTATTTAAATGTTCTTGATGTGTCGTCTCTTACATGTGTGCAGTGTGTGGTTGAATACGTTGCGCGTGAGTCACATCACATGGTCTTTAAGCACGGTCCCGTTCTCCTGCTCTTCATTCCGCTCAACGATACAGCCAAGCGAGAGACTTATCTCAAATTGGTAAGGCCAAGCAATGGGGATTTGAGTTCAACTGACACTGCTGTTGCATTTTTGTGTTGATGTACCGCAATGTTTGCTTACTGAAGTCCGGCTTTATTCCGGTACATGTGGAAGCCGATGTGACGTGGCAGCCTGCTGACTTATGTGCTTGTCTGTATGTGTGGGTGTGGATGTGTGTGTGCGTGCGTGCGTGTGTGCGCGCGCACGTTCAAATGACTGTGTGTATGGCCATGTATGTGTATGCCTGTCCATTCTGCAAACACACACGCATGTGCACGTGCACACACACACAGTTTCGACGCGTAGCCTTGCCAAACTGCCAATGCCGGCACACTTGCTCTCAGCTCCCGGCAGACACGCACACGCGCTGCTGCCAACGCGAGCCAACCAGACTCAGCCACAACCTGCAACACATACCCAAAAAACTGTGCCATATCTACCCGCATGGGTATGATTACCAGCAGCAGCAACAACAACAACAACAACAACAACAACAACAACAACAACAACAACAACAGCAGCAGCAGCAGCAGCAGCAGCAGGAAGAAGAAGAAGAGGAGCAGCAATGGGATAGTGGAACAGGTTAGTGAAAATGTAGACTGGTGATGGCTGGTTCGTCCTTGTCATGGCCGGCTCGTCCTTGTCATGGCTAGTTCATCCGTGTGATTGCAGGCGTGTAGCTCATGTATAGTCAGTGTAGTCTTGTCAGTCACCATGCCAACAAAGATGGCCGCCATGGGTACTGCATAGTCGGAATAGGCAAAATGGCGACCATGAGGTTGCCAGTGGCACATAGTCACCACATCGCATGTATGCTCTGGTCATGGGCCCTGGCATTATGGTAGTCACACAGCAGATGTGCGAGCTACAGTAAACATGTCTAAGACGACCGCTCAAGGGACCTTCAAAATGTGGTCTCTATTACCAGGTGGCCTCCTTATCCAGGGTCAATTGACTGGAAATAGCATCCCTTGGTCGTGGTTTCAGTGGTCTTCAAGGACAGGTGGTCACTTTATCCGAGTGGTCGCCTTGACAGGTTTTACTGTATGCCCCTGGATTGGTCCAGCCAGAGACTATAAGAAATGTAAATGTGACGAGGAAGTAAATCCAACGTTTTGACAAATGACCTTTCTTTGTTATGCCAAGTTCTGTTGAGGCTGTAATGCCTCGTATGTGTCTGATGCAGATATGCCTGCAGAGGATCTCGTTAGTACGTACAGTGAAACCTGTCTAAGACGACCGCTCAAGGGACCTTCAAAATGTGGTCTCTGTAATCAGGTGGCCTCCTTATCCAGGGTCATTTGACTGGCATCCGGTATCCCTTGGTACATCAGGGTCCTTGTTGAAGTGGTCTTCTAGGACAGGTGGTCGCCTTATCCGTGTGGTCACCTTGACAGGTTTTACTCTACAGTGAAACCTGTGAAGGCGACCACTTGGATAAGGCGACCACCTGTCCCACAAGACCAGTGCGACCAGGACCAAGCCGGGATGCTATTTCCAGTCAAATGACCCAGGATGAGGATGCCACCTGCTAACAGAGGCCACGTGTAGAAGGTCCCTTGAGCGGTCATCTTAGGCAGGTTTCACTGTACTCTGAGTGGTAAGACACACTCTTGCTAATGCCTGGTCCACAGTATTATGTAGGCCGATTTTTTCGCCCGATTATGGAATTGTACGAAAGGTCATGAGCGTATTTGCAAGTTTCGCGGCCTTCCTCTTGTCGCTGTGTGTGTGTGTGCGCAGGGCAAGATCATGACGAAGGCCATGTGCCGGAAGAATCTCCACCATTGCCGTCATCGTCGTTGTCGTCGACACCTGCTATTATGCTTGGCAAGGTGTTCTTGGCGGTGGTGCACAAGCGGTGCATGCTTGAGCTCAGTCTCGAAACCAAGGCGTTCATTGTGTTCGGTGAGTTGTTTTCTGCCATCTAGCTTTTCATTAGCTGTCTAACTAGCTTCTGTTTGTTGTACAGCCAGACGTAGTTACGTGAGCTAGCCATTTCTCGCGGAATATTTCTTCGAGTCGACAGCGGTCGGATGAGCCTCGCCAACCACATCGGCACATCGCCCCTGCTCCCCTTTGTCTTGTTGTCCAGCGTCACTTCAGTTGTCCTCTCTAGCTCTCCCTGATTATTAGTAGGGCTATGTTTGTTAGTAAAAATAAATAAAAAAGCGAGTTTTTCCAGGCAGCTGCGGTAAAGCGGCAAACTCGCCGCACGATCGCCAGGATGCTTTTTTTAATTTTGAAACGCACTGTAGCTACATGTATTCATTGGCCGCCTAGCCTTTCCTTACCCATCTAGCTTTTCCTTCCTGATCTTGGTTGGTTTGAGTCACAATGAGTGATTTGGTCCCACGACACGGCTTATCAAGAACACTCTACTCTCACTGAGCGTACAGCAACGTGTGCTAGTACACCAATTCCTATGACTGTATTCTCAGGCCCGGCAGAGCCGGTCCGGTTGGTCAGGTCATGGCCGGACCAACCTTTTTAGCCACCAACGTGTGTTTAGTACTGTTTACTGCTGAGGAGGTTATGTGCACCCGCCACATCATACACAAACTGTATAAAAGAATGGACTCGGGGTGGAGAGCCAAGGGGTAAATGTATAGAAAAGACAAAGGACGCGGTCAGTGTCGTGCAATGTTATCGCATGAGCTGATTGTTTAGTAACTAGTGGTGTTAGTGTACATTATAGCGTAACTTGTAGTTCCTCGGTCCTGTTCTTTAGTCAATCAGGGCTTGTTTGCTGCGACTTGAAGTTCCATGCTGTCGCAATCATCAGGCAACAATATTACGCTCTGCCTCCGCGGTGTTGAGCACTGTCAGCACACTGGGTACACCCTCCGGTCAATCTTTACTATAAATTATAAACGGCTAGCGTATGGCCGGACCAATCAAAAACTGCTTCCTATGACTGTATTTTGTCTGGTCCTGTTGCAGATGCTCACGCCAGGGCATGCAGTAACGCTTCGTTCACGCGCTGCCAACGCTACCAGGTGTGTCGCTGTGACGCCCTGCATGGGCAAGCTCGCCACCGCTCCCCCGAGGCCAGGAAACTGCTCCGCCTGCGCTATCGGTTTGCGGACATCACTGAGTTTGATGAGCTGGCACGGCGCCTGGGCTGGAGGAGTGGTAGCTCTTCGCCGACCACCACCGCCTTGGTTATTGTTGATAGCAAGGTAATGATCTGTTTGTGTGTGTGGGGGGGGGGGGGGGGTGCACGCGTGCGTGCACGCATGGTGTGCATGGTGTTGAACTGGCTGCAGCTGCCGTTGCAATAAATTAATATTTTTTAAATGCTTTTTCACATTCTGGGTGCTTGTCAAGGTTTGTCTTCAAGGCTGATTCAACGAGTACGTTATGTGAATCATGCGTACCTCGCTTCCTGGAAACATGTGGGTGTGTGTACGGGGGGGGGGGGGGGGGGGGGGGGGGGTGCAGGATTACACAACACTACCTCAAGCATGTATGATACACTGTACGTGTACTGCACATTTGTAACTCGCAGGTAGGATCTGCCCAAGACATGGCCAGGTAACTGGTTGTTGGTGGGTGATCAGTTGCCTAAAGGCTGCTTTACGAAGACGCTGGAATTTTGAAAATAAGATTATCACTAGCCTAAAGCGGAGCACCCTCTTCTTCTGCGCCCAATGTCACTGTAGAAATGTTGGTGGATGATCGATTATAATTAGCTGTATGCTTGTGCCTGTTGTTTGTATTTTGTTGTGCAACTCGTGTGTGTGTGTGCGGGGGGGGGGGGGGGGGGGGGGGGTATTTGCATGTATTGTTTCAAATCTTTATCCTTGTTGTTAATGCTGCTGCTGTTGTTGCTGTTGTTGTTTATTGTCGTCGCCGTCGTCGTTGTTGTCGCCGTGTGTGTGTGTGTGTGTGTGTGTGTGTGCGTGTGCGTGTGTGTGTATGTGTGTGTGTGTGTGCTGCAGGCTGGCAATAGTTACGTTGTCAGTGAAGCTCTTGGAAAACTGACCGGCACCCTTATGAGTGAGTCCTTTGCTGCATACATTGTCACTTTGCTCGCCAGCTACTTGAACTAGACCGCCAAACAATTGTTTGAACGAAGTAAGTATTTCGAGAAGATGACTGCTACCGGTTGATGAATGAAGCGCTGACAAACGCGCTCGGCAGAAACATGTTTTCATTCCGTCGTTCCTCAATTTTTTTCGAAACCCCAAGGACATGATTTAGCTGACCGTGGCCCATGTATCCGTGTACTTCGCGTGCGGTATCACTCTGATCTGTGCAGGCCATAATGTAAAATTTGAAATTTTCTCTGCGAAAACACCACGTTCTAAGGGGCGCAATAGTTGGTTGTACCCAGTCGCTACGAAGTGGTCAACGACCTGACGTCACACTTCGAAGCCCTATATCCCTGTTTGGTGGGGGGGGGGGGGGGGCTGGTCATTGAGCATGTTGTGAGATTGCTGGTAGCATCAACCCACAATAGCGTTGCCTAGGTCAAATAACCCTGTCCCGGGTGTATCGAAGGTGTTCGCGTGCAGAGTTCTGGGCTGATGAGGGACAGTTGTAATACGTTTGTTGTGTCCGCAGACGATTTTATCCGCAACTACACCACCGGAGTGCTGAAGGCAAGTCATCGGTCCGAGCCCCCGTCCGCTCGTGAGCCAACCACATCCCCTGACAGCACTGCTGAAGATGATCACCAGCAGCAGCAGCAACAGCAGACAATGACAGTGTCATCTGCAACGCATGCGCACATCATGGAGGTGTCGTCGGACTCTTTCCCCACTCTGGTTCAGAACAGCACAAAGGTTAGCGCTGTGTGGGAAACAGTGGTATTGTTTTGTTTTGGGATTCAAGTATTTCTAGTTTTTTTTAGTTTTTTTTTACTGAAATACACAGTCCAGCAGAGAACGGAGTGGGAAGACAGAACCAAAGGGGAGACATGACAATACAGTGGGAAGCCGGAGCAGCGTGCTGGTGATTCCAAGCTAGTCTAGTGAGTGCGTTTTGAATCCATTCATGAATCGCCCCTGACTATTCTCATCACTCGCTGTAATAATAATAATAATAATAATAATATGAAACTCGGATGTTGAGCCATAAATAAATGTAGAAGAGAAAAGGACATATGGATACGAGTTAAGACTGTATAAAGTATCATGTTACAGTGATGGAGAGTTACTCTTAACTCGTATCCATATGTCCTTTTCTCTTCTACAATAATAATAATAATAATAATAATAATAATAATACCACAGCACGCGTAATAATATAATTATGTGGGTATAATTATACGTTCCGCTTCTGTCCTATCTCCTATGATCAAATTCCATTATCAAGGTAATTATTAACACGGCGCACTGATGACCTGTGACGCCAGATCATGGATTGTCGGCCAGATTTCTCCATGTAGGCTTGTCCAGAGCGATGGCCCTCACATTCATGTGAATAGGGTGAATGGATTCCGGACCAATTACAGGGCTCATGACATGAAATCGAACCACTAGATTCCATTCATGACTCGATTCATGGCAGCAATCGAACACACCCACTGCTACAGATGCAGTGATACCTTTATAAAACGGCGCCATTTGTGCTATGGAGATTTTACTGTAGTAGGCAGGGTTCTGGATTAGCAAATTTTCAGGCCTGGTTTCATAAATAACTTTTCTTTGTGTTGTTTTTTCCCCCGTCCTGCTCAGCACGTGTGCTTGATGTACCACCTCCCCTCCCTGGGCCTGTCCATGGCCTCATTGGTGACATTTGTGGAGACTGCCAAGCTTCTCTGGATGGACGACGCGCTAGTGTTTGCACGGTACGTCCAGAAGCATTTCGGAATAGAGTGCTTTCACCCATCTACTGTAAAACCAGGAATTTTTGGTGGTGTAATACTTTCGGTATTTCCCAAAATCAACGGTTCGGTGGCGCGAAATTTCGGTAAACCAGTTTTCCAGATCCAAAAATGCATTTTGCACACTGTGTGGCATGGCATAGTTGAATTTTAGGTCACATTTTATTTTAGGTAAAAATTACCTGTACCGAAGTTACCGAAAACAAATCTGCACCGAAATTTTCCGGTTTTACAGTACATGTACGTGTATGACATCACCCGGATACACGCACAGGCATGTCACTAAGAGTTGGGAAACCGTGCTTGTGCTTGTCCGCTGTTGTGCTGATTCATGTGTTCCGTTGAGTCGCTAACTCCTTCTTGTGTTCTTCCTGTCCACAGGATTCGCATGGACCGGAACAGTCTGCCTGGTAGATATACACCACCAAGACTGCCGGCATTCGTCCTGTTTCTTGCCGGAGGGTGAGTGTGTGTGCTTGTGTGCTTGAGCGTGTGTACAGGGGGGGTGGATGCGGGTGTTTTTGTGTGTGTATGTGTGTGTGTTTGTGCTGGTGTGTGTATGTGCATGTGTGCACGTGCACGAACGTGGCCCATAGGAAGGTTCGTACAGTCTTGTATATTACTCCCGGCATATCTTCACATGCACCGCTTTGCATTGCCATGTAACCTACATGTCTCTCTCTCTCTCTCTCTCTCTCTCCCTCTCTCTCTCCCTCTCTCTCTCTCTCTCTCTCTCTCTCTCTCTCTCTCTCTCTCCCTTTCTCTCTCTCTCTTTCTCTCTCTCTCTCTCTCTCTCTCTCTCTCTCTCTCTCTCTCTCTCTCCTGCAGACGCAGCCCAGCACTACGCTACCCAAGCACCGCTCCCGTTGACCCACAACACCTGCAGCACTTCCTCACCTACTATCTAGAGAGACACCGCAACAGTAGCACGTGCTCACCAACGCACACACGTACCACGGTAGAGACGAGCAACGATCAAGGACAGGAGCCAACACCTGTGTCCCCACAACCATCACAATGCTCTGACGAAAGCCAACACCAAAGCCTCCAGCAGGAGCAGCGCTTGCACGTGGTACGCCAGATGGACACGCACGCACGGCACCTCAGTGCGCAGCTCAAGCATGCTCACGTCCAGCCCCGGTGGATGTCGGAGCAACAGGAAACAGATGCTGAACTAAATCGACGTGCTGCTTCACAGAAGGTACGGACAGTATTTTTTTTCTAAGTAAAAGTGGGGAGGCTTCCTGCAGTTTCATAAACAGTTAAGAGTAGAGCCCACATGCTTTCTTCCATTAACACTGCAAAAGTCAAACTCATTTCACAATAATTATTCCAACGTATTTTTTTCTCTAAGAAAATACTCGTTGGTTTGAGGGAGAGATGCAAACGGGAAAAGTCTGAAGAAAACTTGACTGTCATCACCATTACTCAAACCAGGGATCCTCTCCCGAGGCCTGAGATACTCTAACCACTGAGCTATGGTGTAGTCGTCATCCCAGCAGAGACCGTTCAACATTCTCTTTAGACTTCGGAACTCACGCTTCCTGTGAACCCACACACCTTTAGCATATCTAAGAAAAGGAACAACCCTAAGTACACACAGACTCCATTGCAGCCATGGGCCATGCCCGAAAAATTTTGGTGAACACTTTTAGTGACGTATGCAGCGAAGAGACCATGTTGAGCGTTTGAGTCAGTGAGGGACCTTGGAGAAAAGGAAATGCAGAACAAGGGCCGTGTTCACAGTAGAACTGTTGCCAGCGTAACCAGCTTGCCCCACGTTAACTCTGATTTTCCGGACTTGTCCAGTTTTTTTCCTCGGATTTGTCCAGGTTTATCTATGATTGGCCGGTTTTATCCAGGTTTAGCCTGACTTGCACAGGCTTGCCTAGTCAAATCTAGATGCAGTTATTGTAGGTAGCAGCTAGTTTGAACGCTGAGTTCTGTAAATTATTTATTTTTTGTCCGTATGTATGCACCTTTGTGACCTTGTCAGCAAGAATGTCATCCCTCGGAGCTGCTTTTATGTCCGCCATGCCTATTGAACCATCGTATTCCAGCTTTTATAAAGTATGCATGTATTGTGTGTGTGTGCATGTGTGTGTGTGTGTGTGTGTGTGTGTGTGTGTGTGTGTGTGTGTGTGTGTGTGTGTGTGTGTGTATGTGTGTGTGTGTGTTAACGTATGTATGGGTGGGTGGGTATGTGTGTGCATGTGCCTGTGCCCATGCTTGCCGTGGTACTCCATGCTACTCTGCAGCTCGAGGAAGCCGTTGAGCACACGCGTGTGGTCACGTCCGACCTCCGGAACAGCAGTGCATGGTTGAAGGACCTCACGGAAACTCGCCAACATCTCGCAGACCGCTTCACGGCACTGCGAGCAGAAGTCAACAGACTGCAACATGAGCGCGCTCTAAAGACGCTCAGTATCGCCGTATCGCGTGATCTGGCGCGCCTTCGTGTCGTGCGTCAAATGGCACGTCTGGAGAAAGACTCTATCCTGCACTCAACACCATTGGTCGTCACACCATCGTCGGTACGAGCGAGGATGTCTGAGCTGTTGGGCTGGCTTCAAGCGAACTTTGAGCGCGCTCGAGTAGCGCAAATGTCCGCATGTGAGCGCGAGGCAAACGCACCCCAACCCGTGCATGCGGAGGAAGCCGAAGCTATTGTAGTTGCCATGAAAGACGCCCACTCCAGGGTTGTGAATCTGGCAGTGCGGGAGGATAGTGATGCTGCAAGCAGCTTGAATGATCGCACGGCCCAGCAAGCAAACGTCTTCGACACCACCAGCAGCGGCAGCAGCAGAAGCAATCCTGACGTAATCGCCCGTGGTGATGACATCACTGTTGACAGTGATGACATCATGACTGCGGATGATGACGTCGTGCGGGCGAATACTATGCATCCATCCAGTCCGGATCAAGCGCATGACCCGCCACCCCAGGCAGAGCCAGGTGATCCAACATCAGACATTGTAGGCGCAGAAGGTTATTCGGCAGCTGATGATCTCCGGGATGAACAGCCATGGCTTGACCAAGAAGATCAGCCGTGGCTCGACTACAATGATCAGCCATGGCTTGACCAGGAGGACGTGCGTGAACATCACAACGGCCATGATGAAGAAGGGTATGCTCAGCAGCTTGATCCATCGCACCCCGATCAGCCAGATGATGACTCTAACACACACAGTATCCCGCAAGAGGAACATGCTAGTCAGCTTGCTGACGCAGCAACGGAAGAGCAGTACGATGCAGAACACTTTGGCCGACAACATCTGGAGGAAGCGGTTGAGCCGCAACTAGCTGAAACAACAACAGAAGAGCAGTACGACGCAGAGCGCTTTGACCGACAACACCTAGAGCCAGTAGAGGAAGTGGTTGAGCAGCAGCTAGCTCAAGATGAGGAAGAAGAGTATGATATCGGGCAGGAGCATGCGACCGATGATGACCAAGTGCTTACGACTGATGATGGCCAAGTGCCTATGACTCATGGTGACCAAGTGCTCTTGTCAGACGAGGGACAGGGTCCGGTTGACGCCGACCGTGGAGATGTTCACACGCCTGGCGATGGCCTTGGCGACGGTGTACACGACGCGGTCAACGATGTTGCAGAAAGCGATCCCGATCAGGCACCATATGGCGAGACAGATGCCAACACTAACAATAGCCCACTCTCAGAGGGGGTGACTTCAGACAGCAGCAGGCGAGAGGCACTTGGACAAGCAGAAAGCGATCCCTACCAGGCACCACCATATGGCGAGACAGACGCCAACACTAATAATAGCCCACTCTCAGAGGGGGTGGAATCAGACAGCAGCAGCAGCAACAAACAAGATCAACACAATGACTCACCAGTGCTGGAGTGTAGGCAGGCAGCCGCAGAGCACTACTCTCAGCCACAGGCAGCGACAGAACACACTATCAGCAGTGTTATTGGCATGGCCGGGCTCACCTCCCCGTTCGCTAATGCCGCACTTCGCACGTTCGCACTGGCGTTGGACGATCGGCAGCTTAGAGCAGCCGTGGAGACGGCAGGGAATGACGATACGTTTCCAACGATGATCACACTTCTCGCTCGTGCTTTCGGCGAATTCGGGAGTTCGCCACGCCTCGGATTAGCGCCACTGCCCACCAGCACTGAAGCGAATGAGCTTGCTCGTTATCGACCTCTCGTTGCGTCCATTTCGGCGACACTGAGTGCCGTCGACAGTCGCATCGAAGTGCTACGCCTCCACATGACCGAATCCAAGTTTGTCCTCTCGCAGCTGGTCGAGTGTGTAAGACACTCGATAGATTCCCTAATTAATGAGCTCATTCCCACGGAGGAGTAGCGATCATTCCTCCGCAAGTGGCTGGTCGTCTCGTCTTGTGGCGATGACTGCAACATCGATGTCATCGTGCGGCATTTGATGCTGTCATTTGGCTGTGCAATGATGTCATCAAGCTGTGATGAGTCTGACGGTGTCTTTCGAAGCACTCATGCGTTGTGCTGACTGCTGACCCTGGACCTTGCAGCACCTCGATTATGATGACATCATCGTTACATCATCATCCTCTTTTGTGATGATGCCATTGATCCATTCTGGATCACAAGGCACTATGGCTTTTGGTGTCGATTACCGGTGCGTGCCTCTGCTGTACTGCTGTGCAGTCTGACCCAGCACCGTACAGCATCATCGTCCTCTTTTGTGGTGATGTCATTGGTCCGTTCTGGATCGTAGCCGTAGGGCACTGTGGCTTGTTGGTGTTGATTACCGGTGCGTGCCTCTGCTGTACTGCTGTATTACTGTGCAGTCAGCCGTACAGCACACTCCTGATCACTGTGCTCGACGTTGCCGTCACTGCCAAATGACCCTATCTCCTACTGTGCGCGCTGCTGCGTGCATCGACTCTACACTCCGACTGCACGCCTCCAGACCTGTTGGATTGCCGGACTAGCAGCCTACCCTATGTAAGCAAGAAGGAGAACACGTGCACTGCTATAGGCGGGTGAACGTGTCTGCACATGGCGGCGGCACTTTTCTCAACACCACAGTACGTGCCAGTACTGGGTATAACATTATACAGAATGCCAGCATCACGCTTTTGGCCAGTATGGCATGCATGCTTGAAGCTTCTGGCCAGTGTGAGCATGTCTGTACCTGTAATGGCCTAGCATGGTCGCACTGGACAGTGGCACTGCAAAGTCTGCTGTGCTGCAATGTGATTGCACTGCGGCAAGTGTGCGGGGCATCACTGCACTTCTGACCACCGGTATCACGTAGCGTCGTCTATTTCTTGACCGGTATGACGTCATCTGGAATGCCGGCATCACACTTTTGACCAGTATGGCACGATTGAAGCTGCTGCACTGGTCGGTATGACACGACGTCATCACGCTCCTGACCACTATAGGCTATAGCATGACATCCTCATGTTTCTGAGCATTATGACATTGCTTCTGACCAGAATAGTATGAAATTATCACGCTTCTGAATGAGGGGATATGACGTCATCATGCTTCTGACCAGTATGGCATGATGTCATCACATTTCTAACCTGTATGGCATGACATCATCGTGCTTCTGACCAGTTCAGCATGATGTCATCACGCTTCTGACCAGTATGACATGACATGGTCTCACTGTACTGTATAATTTTATTGTAGTGCAGTACGATGACAGTAAACTGCTGCACACATCAACACAGTCAGTGCTGTATGATATCGTTAGCTTGCCACGGCTTGTCACTGGTCAGCTACTGGCTCGTCTGGAATACTACACACTATGAGTGCGGTGTCAGCGTGTCAGCAAATCCGGCGAACAGCACTGTCCTATTCTAGGACTTCCGGCAGCAATTATGTCAGCGATGTTTACTCCTTTGCTATGGCATAATTATGTGTGGAAGTAGCTCGCTGCCATGCCAATATTCCGAAACTTTGGTGTGCGAGGACATTTTTTAGATTGTACTATTTTTAATTTATTCTGGTGTTTAGCGATTCTTTGAAAACGCTTTTCTGCTTGTCCGGTACGGCGGCGTTGTACCGCCGTTTCGTGTAGACACATTCTCTGCTTTGCACCTCGCTCTTGGTCTCGACCAGGGAGTGGTATTTTTACTACTCCCTGGGGATTATTCTGCGGCATTTTCTGCTTGGCCTTTACTGGTTTTCGCACACATAGCTCACATGCACTGGGTACACTTCGGTTCTACATGTACCCAGTACCAGTGTGTCCACTACTCAATGACAATGCAATCCAATCACACACGCACAGGTGTGCATGAAACTACCACCGCTGGTTCTGTTTGCAGTGCATGGTTTTATTAGCCCCGGGCCCCGTTCTCAGGTTCCGTTGCCAGGGAGTAGTAACATACCTACTCCATGCCACCCGCCGCCAGAAACAAGGAAGAGACGAGAGAAACCAGGTCTTAGGAATCTGACACGGCACACATACCACGCGCCCATGCACGCACACCCCCACACTCACATGCAGAGAGGAATGTCGGCGTGGTTGCCATTTTTATTTTATTTTCGTTGTTAAAAAATTGACCAAAACCTCTAATAAAAACCTGGCAGAAACTCTAGCCAAGATCGATAGAATGGGCAAGGAACGAAATTGGAAATGAAATTTTCTAGCAAAACTCCTAAGAAACAGCACGTACTCTAGTCTAGGACAACTGACAGCAAGGGGCTTCAAGCTCAGCCTGCTGAGAGAAGCGGGAGCCAAACCGCAGCACCCCGGTGGCAATAGTAAAACACATTGAAGCATTTCCAATAGAATTTTGTTGCTCGTATGGCGGAAAATATGTTTGACATGACCAGTTCCTGTATAGTGCAGGAAGAGAAGCGCAACAACCAACCGAATCATCTCCCAATGAAGGAAGCAAAACAAACGAAAGCCGACGGCAGGGCAGAGAAGGAGGGAGAGCAACTGCATCTGTGGACTAAACATCTTTTCAAATCCAGCAAACAAATAACAATCTTGTCTTGAACATCAACATTTTGAATTAATCATTACCGTAGTACAAATCTACAAAACATATAATCCCTTCGGGCAGGTGATACGGGTCAAGTCATCCGATGAAGAAAATAGTACGGAAAAGCTGCTACAGGGAGAGAGACACACACACACACACACACACACACAGACAGATGGACAGAGCCAGCAGGAGTAGGACAGGCTGTCCAAACCGCACTGCTTTGCGCAGGACAGTCCTGCTTCCAGGGACCAAAACATCACGTATACAATAAACATGAGCCTTTGTACCGGTAAACAGTTTAATCATGCGGGTGTCCTGCTTTGGATTGATGGCAAGGCTGGATAGACTAGTAGCAGCAGTCCTGCTTTGGATTGATGGCAAGGCTGGATAGACTAGTAGCAGCAGGAGCAGACACTCAGTAGAGAGCCCACGGCGGCCACTTGCCCATGAAGTTCGGCTCTGAGGTAATATTGAGTGGCATAACAATATCGATCTGCTCAAGCAACGCGTCCTCAACAAAGGCATTGGAAAAGTGATACCTGCAGACACAGCACGCAATCACACGTACAAGCATCGCATTCATTCGCCGCCTTAATAATCACGACCAATCTATTATGAACTCGGATGCGGAGCCAAAGTAATCATGAATAAAGAGAAAGCACAACATGTTATGAGTTATGACTAACTGTCCACCAACATAACCAGATTACTGTAAACCGCCCAATATTCGTGTCACTAAATTTTCGCGATTTCTTAGAACCAGCAAGTTTACGATGGCAAAAGTTCGCGAAGCACCGGGGCCACCTACATACACCCACTGTTGAAGCTTGATTTCACGATGGTTAATATTCGCGCTACGCTCTTCTCGCGAAAATAGCGAACATTAATCCGTCGCGAATATTAGGCAGTTTACAGTATATAAAGTCAGCGAGTGCGATATGACCTGGTTACGTTGGTGGACAGTTAGTCATAACTCGTAACATTTCGTCCCTTCTTTTTATCAAACTGCTACGAGGTAGACCAATGTGAGATTGCTGTTTATACAAGGCTTCTGTGGGACAACTCTGCATGTGTGTGTACGTGTGTGTGTGTGTGTGTGTATGTATGTGTGTGACCAAGTTCCTCCCGCGCTCACCCGTCCGTGCCCACAATGAAAGCGACCGGGATGGTCACGTCAGCACCACACCCTGTCTTGTCAACTCTGCATGTGGATGTGTGTGCATGTGTGTGCGTACTCGTGTTTGTGCATGCATGAGCGTGCATGTATGTGCGTGACCAAGTTCCTGCGCTCACCCGTCCGTGCCCACGATGAACGCCACGGGGATGGTCACGTCATCACCACGCCCTGTCTTGTCGTCCACCATGTCCACGAACTGACTGAAGTTGTCCGCGTCTAGGTCATAGATCAGGATGGCCGCAGCTCCCATCTCCTGTGCTACCAAGGCCTTGGTCAGAAATGAACAGTCACTGCAATGGCACAGAACAGAGGGCAAGTATTGAGGTTAGTGCCGTATTTTATCGGCTATAAGTCCACCTTTGTAAAATGACCTAAACCGACCTAAAATGGGGTAGCCGACTTACAGCTGGGGTATAACTGCACCTAAACCGACCTAAAATGGGGTAGCCGACTTACAGCCGGGGTACAACTGCCCCTAAACCGGTAAATCGAGGCCCCAAGTTTGGAGGTCGACTTCTAACCGGGGCCGACCGACAACCGGTAAAATACGGTATGCGAAAGACACGTCACAAGGATGAGTCAGCGGAATTTCGGAATCGCTCATAGGCTATTCATACTACGTTACAATACGCGCCATGTTTTGGATTCCACGTACGGGCAGACGTCGTTTTCATGCAAGTGCATTCACACAGGCACGTATGCGCTGCTCGTACAGCTGTGCGTACAGCTTCTTTTGGACACACACTGCCGGGAATGACAGAACTGGCCTTGTTTGTGTCTATTTACATGTCCATCATGTACTTATGAGAATCCTTCAAATAGAAATGAATTAGTATGGATATTGTGCGTTCAGTAAAACCTGTACCTAATGACCACCCCTTGGGGCCAGAAAAAGCGGTCTTTAGTGGCAGGTGGTCCTTAGTTAGAGGTTTGCACCGCACAACCATATATGAGTGTGAGACCGTCCGTGCCTGGCAAAGTGGTCGGTAGTACCAGGCTGGTTGCTAGTCACGGTGGTCTGTAGTACCAGGCTGGTTGCTAGTCACGGTGGTCTTTACTTACAGGTTTTAATGTACGTACCCTCTTTCCACCAGTACCGTGGCACCGTCCATGTTGTGGTGTGCCTCCACAAATTCCGATGGCGTGCACATCTTCCGTGGCTCGCCTGGTACTAGGTACGTCGGCCGGGGGTAGTGGCCCTGACAACACCCACAACACCGCACAGCACAGTCGTCGCAAGACAAGTCATGCATGCATGCACGCACACACACACACACACAGACAGACGCACACACACACACGCACACAGACAGACACGCACACAGACAGACAGACACGCACACAGACACACACACACACACACAGACACACACACACATGCACACACAGACAGACACACACACGCACACAGACACAGACACACACACACAAACAATAGATTTTTGGTTGGAGGGAAGCAAATCAAAACACAAAGCTATTCTAGTTTCGACTAGGCCTTTCGTACCATTACTTATCAAGTCGAATACAATGGTGAATAACACGGTAGCAAGCAAGTCCTTATATTGTAAATATTCGGCGCATATTTATTTTCGGCTACTTTCCGCCTGGTCATGGTTGGCCGAAAATTTGCTGCAGCCGAAATGTTAGTCTTGAAAGGTTCAGTGTGATATTGTGTACAGGCAGTGGCAGTACAGGGTGAAAAATTGATGCAGCCGAAATGGGTTTAGCCCTGGGTGGCCGAAATGGGTTTAACCCTGGGAGTCCAAAATTTGAATGGGCCAAAAATTTGTAGATTTACAATAACAAAAGGAAGTTAAGCCTAAAATCAAATTTTCACCAGTTGTACGAGGAAACTGAGACGCTTCGTTCCTCCTTTATTCCCAATCGAACTCGCGCACTTCCACCGAAACTGGGTGACGGCACCTTACTAGATGGGGATTTGTATGCAAAATATCACTAAAAGTGCGGATGACAGCGATTGGCCCATATGTTATAGTCTTTTGGACGCCGAGTCAACTTGTTTTGGTCCGAAAAGGCTGCAATGCAGTATTCGGTCCTTATTCCCAATCGAACATGGTTGAACAAGCAGTCACATGCACCTACGTACACCAGTCACCATGCCTGCAGGCTACAACTTAATAATAATAATATTCGCGGGATCCGCGTCGGCATCGCTTGAATGTTCGTTCAGAAACACACAAACTAGCCTTCGCATCCGCAGGCCACCACTATGCCTGTTAACCTTAGTGGCGAATGCAGACCTCACAAGTGAGTCAGGGGAGAGGAGGTGAGTCTCTCAACCAATCGGGCGTGTAACGGCCCATAACCCTGTGAACTGCATCCTTGTTATTCTCACTCCGAGCTGTGAGTACCCAGTTGACCGTGGGTGTCGGCGCAGTTCAACACGCGTAAAAAGTCTTTTTACACGCTCCCTGCTACCAGCGCGGGTCTTGAACTCGGGACCTCATGATTCGCAGGCAGGCCTGCAAACCAATCGGCCATATGCGTTACTTACAGCATGTTAATTTGCCTACATTGCCTGCTAAGCAAGGCCGAGGGTTCCTGGTTCGAGTCCTGGCGGTGACAGCAACTTTTTTCTCCAGAATTTTTCCCGTTTGCAACTTACTCTCCTTCAAACTGATGAGTACATTGCATGAACTAGAAAAGCACTCAGTTTGGAACCAACAAACAAATGCAGCCAGTTCTGCACGCAGAATTACACAGAAAATAAAGTTGCAACTACGAAAAAATGTTCAAAGGAAGTCGTCGCTGCCCCAACCAAATCTCTGCTGAACAAGGACTTTTACAGTCAGGAAGCCTGTAGAAAAATCCGTCAGAAAAGAAAAAAAAATTAAAAAAATCCTTCGAGCCGGATTTGAACCAGCGACCTAAAGATGACTGCACATCCCAGTGATGCGCACACTACAGTCTTCCGCTCTAGTCCACAAGCCAAGGTGCCAAAAAGTGACTTTTCGCTCCCGTTCAAGGGGGACAAAGGTTTGCCATGTGCAAATGATAGAGAATGCGTAGAGCTTTCAGGATCTGTGTCACTTGACCCAGAAACATGGGGCTTTGTTGACCAAATCGACGAAATACTTCTTGAAGAGTGTTACCATAGCAACCAAAGTGATAATTCCCAATTTAGGTATCTTGCAGATTAAATACTAACAGTGTTGCTTTGGAATGAAGTAGCCAAGGCCCAGACCTAGCTGTGTACAAATTTTCATGATGATCGGAGGTGTCTTACTACCTCAATAGCATTGCTTGGAATAGAACACAATAGGGTCAATACACGGAATGCAATATAAGTCACATTTGAGAAAATATTTACAAACAAGGAGCCTGCACAAAATAGGAAATGTTGACAAGTAGTCAAGTACTCTAGATTGATAATTTATGATTTCCTAGCATGAAGGCTCTGATTATAATAGTATTGGCATAATTATTATTATTATTATTATAGACAACACCTCATGGCATGAGAAGAAAATCAGCCAGTACGGGAGATGTGGGTGTTAACCAACCATGGTGAATAAAAGAAGAAAAGTAATGGTCAAGACGGAGAAGCATGGCAGGGACAGGTGATGGTGAATCTAGTGAGCAGATTTAAATGCGTCCAGGGTACTGGCATTGCGCGTAGTAGCGGGCAGCGCAAGCCAAGCAGAGTAAGCAACAAAGAGTGGAGAGCGTACAAGGGAGGATGTTTTAGCCAAGGGGAGGGCAACAGAGCATCTTGTCTGGGAGCCATCTGTGATTCGGAACCAGTTATACACGTTAAGATGAGGAGGATGTAGAGCTAGTTTAAATTTGTGAGCAAAAGTGCAAATTAATTTTTGACGGTGGGTCGACAGTGGGCAAGCATTTGCAAGGACATACAGGGAAGCAGAAGGGTAGAGAGGGGGTAGACTAAACAGGATACGAAGAAGATAATGGATCGGATGGAGAGCCAAGTATAAATTTATAGGCAAGAAAAAAAGGACCACTAAACTACAAGTTACGCTATAATGGCCATTAACACCACCAGTTACTAAACAATCAGCTCATGCCATAACATTGCACGACGGGCCTTCCCTATCAAAATAATAAATTCTACTACTACTACTACACTGACCAACGGTACTGTATTTCTACAACTAGCTGGCTAACAACTCTAGCACATCTTGGATGCGCACACCAACAGCCTTCCAACTTACTATTTTATTATTATTATTTTTATTATTTTGCTAGGGTGTTTCCCACAGCCCTATGGTCTTCTTACGGGAGCCCCTAGAAAGGTTAAGCATGATCGAATAAATGTGCGATAATCTGTACAAGAACGAACAGTGGAAGGCAGCATGTTCCACTAACCAGAACCTATGTAGCCAAGACGAGAAAAGCAGCTTTAGTGCAGGCAGAAGGCAAGGCCAGAGTAAAAGAGATTTGGGACCTAGTGACGGCAGTAGTGTGCCACTAGAGGAGCGGGTATGGCAAATTTCTTGTAGGAGAGAGCTGCATGTGCCGCTATGGACAGAGCGAAGTACAAGAATAAAAAGCTTCAAATTGACTCGGACGGAAATGTGGGAGAGGTTGTAAAGGCTAAGAATATGTGAGGCACTGGTGAAGTTATCGAAACCAAAAACTATTCTTAGGCGCCTGTTAAATAGCCGGACATACTGTCTTATTGAAATAGTAAGAACTAAGGGTGAGGACGTAAGCACTGCTTGCATACTCCAATGACGACTGAATGACACTAAGATAAAAGCTACGCCGTGCGTGAAATGGCAAGAGATATCTTGACATGTGGTAGGCACCGAGTTTCCTGTTGACAGACCCAATCAAGCTGTCAATTGGTGACCCAAAAGTCAGGTGCTCGTCAATAACAATGCCAGGATAGCGTGCGGACTGCGCTCGAAGAACATGGATGCTGTCAATGACGACACTGGCGGAACCAGGCACTGCTGCTGTCTGTCTGTGAGGGAGGAGGAACTTCGTTTTTGCTGGGTTCAGCGTCATGCGCTTCCCTTTCAGGTAGGCAGACAGCTTGAGCAGATCTCCGTTCAACGTTCCTATGACTTCCTCAGCAGAGTCTCCAGCTGCGTACATATTCACATCATCCGCAAACTGCAGAACTGTGGAATTGTTCACACAGGAGGGGAGACCACGGACATAGAGGCTGAAAAGGACAGGCCCCAAAACGCGTGGCAGGCCCTCTGGTGCAATGAGCTGCTGCGTTCTATCACTCAGGTAGCTTTTTTAAAAACCATGCCAGAGCCGAGTCACCAATCCCACAATCAAATAACTTATTCACAGCAACTGGTGATTGACTCTATCAAACACTTTCCTGACATCAGCAAGCACTACGCCAACAACCTTCCCATTATCCAAATCTTTCATCCAGCTATCAATTATAACACAATTGCAACAGTCAGGGCCTCCTTACACGAATGATATCGTCTGTATGCAAATTGCTGGGGTGGAATGTCAGGATTCTCTTGGAAGGCTGTTGGAGTGCGCATCCAAGATGTGCTAGAGGTTTTACCAAGTTAGTTGTAGAACGTCAGTACAGTCGGTCAGTGTCGTGCAATGTTATCGTATGAGCTGATTGTTTAGTAACTGGTGGTGTTAGTGGACATTATAGCGCAACTTGTAGTTTAGTGGTCCTTTTTTTCTTTACTATAAATTTATCCTTGGCTCTCCATCTGAGTCCATTCTTGCACACCTGATGAGCCGTCCTTATCTATACGGCGAAACGATCGTCGTGTGAAACTGCTGCTTGTTACCCGCTGCTTATTGTCCATTATTATTATTATTATTAAATTTTTGATAGGGCGAGCCCCACAGGCCTATGGCCTTCTTACAGGGTACCCTAAATGTGCCAATACAAGGTTACGGAAGCGGGAAACAGATGTGCATAGGCGAATCTAAAGTGTCATAGTCGAAGTACAGTACTATTTTACTGAGGCATTCGGTTTTGCATGATTCTTGTTCGCATACATGTAGCTTCCCATTTTATTGATCTTCGCATCTTTGAGCCACACAAGTTGTGTGGAATGTTGCTTTGCGTCCTTGAATCGTGGTTTGACCGTATTGTCCAGTGGTCTTGCCAGTATCGTCATCGACATGCATGAACATCCGCCAACGACGTCCTTCACAGCTGAGACTTTCCGCCTTCATGCTAGGAATCATAAAGTATCCTTCTAGTGTGCTTGACTACTTGTCAACATTTCCTATTTTGTGCAGGCTCCTTGTTTGCAAAATTTATTTTCTCAAATGTGACTTATAAATAATTATTGCATTCCGTGTATTGACGCTATTGTGTTCTATTCCAAGCAATGCTATTGAGGTAGTAAGACACCTCCGATCATCATGAAAATTTGTACACAGCTAGGTCTGGGCCTTGGCTACTTCATTCCAAAGCAACACTGTTAGTATTTAATCTGCAAGATACCTAAATTGGGAATTATCACTTTGGTTGCTATGGTAACACTCTTCAAGAAGTATTTCGTCGATTTGGTCAACAAAGCCCCATGTTTCTGGGTCAAGTGACACAGATCCTGAAAGCTCTACGCATTCTCTATCATTTGCACATGGCAAACCTTTGTCCCCCTTGAACGGGAGCGAAAAGAGCGAATAGTCACTTTTTTGCACCTTGGCCTGTGGACTACTCTACCAACTGAGCTATCGAAGGAGACAAGAATACGGATGGTGGAACAGAGCAATGTGCATTAGGGCGCTGCACTCCATCTGCCATAATGTCTCAATTGTGCATGAGCAAAGTGCTGCTATCCGCGAGCTGTCGCTGTTCGTGAGGTTGATAGCATGCAGTCACATGGTCGCTAGGTCTGGAGATTGTGAAGTTATTCGCTTATTGTTGATACTCGTGGTCGCAATTCAAGAGGTTGACTTTAGAGGCCATCCACAAATTATCACACACTTACAAAGGTTGAGCCGAAGTCCCGAGCAGGTAAAGCCTTGTAGATGTAGGCTAGTTTCGACGGCCGCACAACCTTGAAGAAAACCGGATCTGGGAGCGGAAGCGGAACTTCATCATCATCGGACCAGCAACCTTGCAGCAACATCGACACCAACAACACCAATACAGTTATAACCACACAGCACCAGCAGCAACAGCAGCAGAAGCAACACCACCACCACCACCACCACCTGTTGGAGTTTTACCTTTGAGGGTATGCTTGTGCATTTTATAAAAGCATGTCCACAATCTATGGAATTATGAAATTAGATGATGTGTCTTGCTGTGTGTGTGGCGGGGTGGGGGTGGGGGCATTCTGTTTCCAAGAGTCTCTGGTTGGGGCAGCCCGTGGGGGAAGGGGGGGGGGGGCATTCTGTTTCCAAGGGTCTCTGGAGTTTGGTTGGGGCAACCCTGGGGGCTGGGGCTGCCCAGTTATCTGTGCTCTTGAAACTTCACTGGATCTGCTCTGACATCAAGTCTGGATAACATACGTACATGTGCACACACACAGACAAGGCCGGTCTAGGCAGCTCGAGGTAAAGCTCGAGGTGATGCTGCTGTCTGATGATCGCTGAAATGCGTGAAACTTTAAAAAGTTACAGCTCGTACACAGCCTTTCGCCTCTGTTGTGTGTGCAGACACATGTACTAGTACATGTACTGTTGGTCGCTGAAGAACAGGGGGGGGGTTAAGCCTCCTAGCCTAAGCTAGAGTACACCATTTTTTATTTTCATGTATTGCAATCTATGCAGTCGTTGAGTCACCGCGCGTATACATTGGTATGCCGAGCTTGATGAAATTCTAGCCTGGTCGTTCTTCGGCGCCCGACACCACTGTATGATCCACTTTCTCCAAGTGAATCTGAATTATCTCAAAGTGCAGATGGTGTGCAGAATAATTAATTACTGTAAATTTCACAAATTTTCGGTGTACTTTTATTTTCGGTACTTTCGGTGCGTCTGTTTCATACCTAAAATTTCAATACACCGAACAAACACTAACACACATAATCCAATACGGAACTGCTTCTCTGTACCGAAATTTCTGTTCACCTAACCTGGCCTTTTGCCCTCATACCGAAAATACTGACCACCGAAAATTTCTGAAATTAGAGTATGTATGGTTGTCTGTCTTTAGATTTTGGATGTTTGGTCGACTTTTTTTCGGAATAACCCAGCAAGGAAAATACGTTCTTCTGTGATGAGAAATGGTTCTCGCACACGTTTGGAAACCAGCTTGCATCGCCAGATGTCCAGGTGCCTAACGTACATGTACGTGGACCAGCAGCACATGCGAATATAATACACGTGCAAGAATTTTCTTTTTCAGATGTCAGTTTAATATCTGCATGCTGCAGTGCTCAGCAGGGAGCCCTGCATGTCATTGTGTAAGGCTCCCTGGTGCACAGTTGGCCTCCTCAAACGGGGGCCGGCGGAAGGGGCGCAGCACAATTCGTTTCCTTCCCGTAGACACAGACTGACTAGCCTGCATGCACAGTGCACATAGGTACGGCTATCGACATGATGCTCAACTTCAGCACATCTGTTGAAATTCGAATATGGATGGTGTACGATTCCCCAAGGGAAAATCCCACAACTGATATTATTTTTCAGCACGACAAGGAAACTGCCTTGAGAAGCTCAAGCATAAATTTAATTATACAGCTACCGTTGCAAAAAGAGGAAATACTGTAATATGATGTTACATCATGTAACGCTAACCTGGGAGCTGGCCAAAGAGGCATAGCAAAATGCACGAAACTGCTGTCCACCATAATGGCGTCGTGAAAATTGTCCTCCGCCCAGAGCCTGCGGGCGTGTGGCAGCAACTAGAGGACTTTCCGGCTACATACATAGGTCCTAGATAAAATAGGCGAGACGACAACTCAACTCTCCTGGCTACTCCAAAGCATTTGACAATGTGAGTAGTTACATCGGTCAAGAAGGATGAAGACTTGCTAAAGACAAAGTAAAGTAGAGTGAGTACAAAAGCTTTTCGAAAGTTCAAGAAGTTTGCTTTGTTCAAGTTTTACACCTCATTTTCAAAAAAAGCCGAGTGTAAATCCCCCTGTCGAAAAAGAGTTTTTACTGGAGTCTCGTACCGTTGTCATGTGCGTTTTCCCTGTGTATTCTTTACCTTGACGGTGTTGACCCCAAATACTTCAAGTGTTGCATGATTTCGTAGCTATGTCCGGCAAAATTACCAGAAAGAGAATCAAAACCCATAGTAAATCCCGATTTCGTTATGGGGCGTCATGGATGATGCCAGCAGGCGGCTCTGACATGATCTGGCCAACCTCAACGAAAAAGGACTGGCACTGGCAAACGCAAAAAAAAGCTGGCAAGCATGCACATACCAAGAGTTTGCATCCACTTCTCGTGTTGACGAAATCAGTTTCTCGTTTCTTCTGTCGGCTGCTGTGCCTGTGTTTCGGAGCCGGGTACATGTTCAGAGTGTTTGCCCATGAGGAGCCGATAGCCGTTCTGATGCAGTAGCTGCAGCCATGAATCTTGCCACACAAGGAGCACAATCTGGCGGGAGCAATGGCCTCTTGTTCTGCAATTTCAATCAGGATCAAGGTAAATAATCGAGCCAGAACGGCTTCTAAGACTTGTTGTAGGTGCGTTTGCTTGTTAGTTGGTCGCTGAGCGAGGTTTCTTCTTGACGTATCCTGCGAGTTAGCAAAGAATTCGGCTATGATCTTGGGCCTGGAAACCAACGCGGATGGAGTGGGCGTTGAAAATATGCTGTTTTTGAAGTTGAACATTGCATCGTTATAGGATAGCGTACATGTGTATTGTAGTTGCGAAATAATTGGTTAATTGATTAATTGATTGATTTTTATTTCAAGAGTGACCAAAGGCTGCGGGAACCTGACAAATCACCTGACAACAGTTTTTTTCGGCAGGCCTTGGGAAGCGTGGTGTCTGTGTGACATGGTATTATCCAGAGCACATACCCCCCCCCCCCCCCCCCCCCAGCAGTGTTTAACTCCCGCGTACAGTACCCTGCTGTCCCGACAGAATTTCAAGTTGACGTCATTCTTTTGTTCTGATGCAATGCTCCTTGCACCAGTGGTTCACGACACTTGTACGGAGTATCAACACATCACACACACACACGCGCACACACACGTTTTTCTTTGCACTAGTTTGTACGGGATCAAATGGGGCTTTTTTCCACCGCAGGTTCAGGACACGTCTGATAAGACGTGTACAGTGCGCATTGCATCATAAAACATGACGTCAACTTGAATCCGTCGGGACAGCACCCATAGTGCAGTTGCACTCTCTTGGGGGGGGGGGGGGGCTATGTAGTATGTCTTGGTCTAACCAAGAGTCCATAAAAAAGAGTGTGCAACGCCACATAGATGTCTGTCACGACTCGTTTTCAACATTACATCATTTTCATGTAGCTGCGCGTGCAGTCCGTGACATTCGCTACATGAAAATGACGTAATGTTGAAAATGATTCGTGACAAGACCCTATCGCGCGTTGCACACTCTTGTTTATGGACTCTTGGTATTATCAAGAGTACATAACCCTATACCCCCCCCCCCCCCCCCCCCCGAGTGTGCACCTCCAGCTATGGGGTCTGCGACGGCAGAACTTCACATCACGTGATGAACCCGTACACATTATTTGCACCCTGTGCATGATAGATACAGGGTTGTACGCAACCCAGCTTTGGGTACAACTCTCTTGTGGTCACTTTGCACTGTTTGCCAGCATAACCTTTTGAACCATGTTACGTGATGTGAAGTTCTGCCTCGCAGCACAGCATAGCGCTTGTGCAGGCAGTTGCACACTCTTGGGGGTTATGTACTCTTGGTATTATCCACACTATGGCCAGGCCTTGGCTACAGTACAGTGTTGTCCGGCGCGCCGAAGAATGGAGCTTGTACATTACACCATGTCTGCTCCAGAGCCGGGTCAGCCCCCCGGTTGAGGGGGGGGGGGGGTACTTGGACCCGTTTGGAAAACAAACACCGGGTCACCATGCAGTAGCCGCACTTGAACGGACCCGGCTCTGACCCGGTTGCAATGGTTATGCCAGGTACACGTGTACCCGGTTGGTTTGAAATCCTAGAGCACACACTGTGTAACCTGTGTCTTGCTTCACGTGCTGATGGAGCTGGGGCATACACACGTATGCTTACTGCATGCCTGGATAGACCTGGCGCACATATGTACATGTATGCTTACTGCATGCCTGGATAGACCTGGCGCACATATGTACATGTATGCTTACTGCATGCCTGGATAGACCTGGCGCACACATGTACATGTATGCTTACTGCATGCCTGGGTGGACCTGGCGCACATATGTACATGTATGCTTACTGCATGCCTGGATAGACCTGGCGCACATATGTACATGTATGCTTACTGCATGCCTGGGTGGACCTGGCGCACATATGTACATGTATGCTTACTGCATGCCTGGATAGACCTGGTGCACATATGTACATGTATGCTTACTGCATGCCTGGATAGACCTGGCGCACATATGTACATGTATGCTTACTGCATGCCTGGATAGACCTGGTGCACACGTGTTCAGTGGAACCTGTCTAAGGCGACCGCTCTCAAGGGACCTTCAAAACGTGGTACCCGTGTACAGGTGGTCTCCTTATCCAGTGTCATGTGACTGGAAATGACATCCCTGGGTCCTGTCTGTAGTGGTCTTCTGGGACAGGTGGTCTTCTGGGACAGGTGGTCTTCTGGGGCAGGTGGTCTTCTGGGACAGGTGGTCTTCTGGGGCAGGTTTTACTGTATGCTTGTTGCATACTTGGATGGACCTGGCACACACATGTGCTTACTGCATGCTTGGATAGACCTGGCACACACATGTGCTTACTGCATGCTTGGATAGACCTGGCACACACAATGTGCTTACTGCACCTGCTCTGGTTAGTTCCCAGTGGCAGTTCTCATTAGACAGAGGCAGTAGCAAACATCAATGTCTTACTCCAATTCGTGAACTTCACACGAAAGTATGACACGGGCAGACCTCATTCTCCTCGTTCGATGCTGATGTTATCGTCATTGCTGGTGTTGCTGCTGCTGCTTCTGTTATTGCTGCTGCTGGTGGTGGTGCTGACGCTGCTGCTGTTGCTGGTCCTTATGCTTGTGTTACTGCTGCTGTTGATGTGATGCTCTTGCCTGTGGTGGTGCTGGTGCTGGTGTGTACAGGGTGCTTTGCCTGCGGAATGGAGAATGGCTTCCGTGTCTACAATTGCGATCCGCTCAAGGAGAAGGAGAGACAAGGTCAGTCGCTCTCTAATGCAGTGGGCGTGCGCTGTTGACGTGTGTGTGCTCACTGTGTGTGTGGGGGGGGGGGGGGGGGGGATTTTTAGCTCTTATGGTTTCGAAGTCTGAACAGAATGTTGAACGGTCGCTGTTTGGATGACGACTACACCATAGCTTAGAGGTAGAGCGTCGCTGGTCACAAGCGAGGGTCCCTGGTTAGAGTCCTGGTGGTGACAGTCATTTTTCTCTTCAGTCTTTTCCTCTTTGCCACTTACTCTCGAATATCTCATGGCGAATGTTTCCGTCTACCCTGATGTTGGGCCATGGCCGAAAATTTGGTGAACAGTTTAAATGACGTACGCAGCAGCTAAGAGACCTTGTTTTGAGTGTTTGAGTTGAGGTTCTGTAATTTCACAAATTTTTCGGTGTACTGTTATTTGAAACTCGGATGTTGAGCCATAAATAAATGTAGAAAAGAAAAGGACATAAGGATACGAGTTAAGAGTAACTCTCCATCACTGTAACTGGATACTATACTGTACTGTTATTTTCGGTATTTTCGGTGCGTCTGTTTCATACCTAAAATTTCAATACACCGAACAAACACTAACACACATAATCCAATAGACTCATTGCCGAAGATGCGTTGCCATGGTGCAAAATGGCGTTGGATGGCTACGCCTGAGCGCTCGCGCTGTCATCGCAGCCCACGACACGTCTTCCTGCTGTGCAATCGCGCCATCATTGGTAGACGGCATAGCTGGCATGGCTGGCATGACGTGTGACCTCTGCGCTTCGAACCAATTCAATGCAGTCAAAAGCCATATCGTTAGTCAGGCTCACTGGAGCAGGCGGGCTGCAAGGAGGCGGTGCGCAGTCATAAAGATGCCTTAGAAACCCACAGTCCCATACAGCACCTGCAATGGCATGCTTCAGCTGGAAAAGAGCTGTCGGGTCTGCTTTCCGGTCATCAGGATGCCTTGGGTCGTATCTTGAGGATCCTTCCCACTCCCACGGCTTCTTCTTCCGGGCTCCTGGATAGGCTTTTGCTATTGTGATGCCAGCCAACGGCTTTGGTTCCACCTTTTGGGAGGCTGGTTTGCACCGCTTGCAATTATGTCTGTTACGGAAGGTCCAGACAAACTCCGCATGCCACGGCTGCAAAAATCATCCAGCGCAAACAGCAAAGCCGCGACATGTGAACAGCACTCTCCTAAACCGGAAACGCACTGGCAGTATCCACCGTAGCACACTGGATCGTCCCTGCTGATGCAGACGATACACGTGTAGGCTTGCGTTGATGTATCTTGTGATGGCCAGCATTTTGCACGGACAAAATAAAAGTTTGTTCCACCTGCAAACAGGTTTCCCTCCAAATTGTGAAGGTGGTGCTCATCAAATAATTGGTACCATGAAGTTGCTTGTAGCACTGCAAGCTCCCCTTGTCATAATCTTTGTCCGGAGAATTTAACAGATAGTGCTTGACAGCCTCAGTAGTGAAGAAAGGGATTTTAGTTAGGTGAGATACAGACCAGCTAGAGGTTATGTGTGAAAAGCTCTGGTAATGCAGGCTTGTCTGCCTCCTCGTCTGGAACACCTTCGCCAGCAGTACTCAAGTGGAAATGATCACAGATGAAAAGGTAAAGATCACGTCTGGATACACGCCCTTGGTAGGGAATACTGAAGTCTTTGCAAAGTTTGCGCAGCCCTTGCATGCGTAAGCGCATGATATCCCCACAAGAGGTGGGAGGGCGCAGGACAGAGCTGGACAGAAGTGAACGTGTGGCCCCTTCAGTAGCAGCATCAGCTGCTGTTTGCACTGGCCCTGAAATAGCAGCGGGTTTTACAGCAGGTTCAGGAGTGGTTTCAGCTACTAGGTATACTGCTTGCACTGGACACGCCAGCGCTAGCCCGGCTGAAGCAGCGACACTAGCAGGAACATCGGCACTCTGCGCAGCGCTGGTTTCGAGTGCCACTTGCACATCGAGCCACTCGAAATAATCAGGAGCGACGTGCCTGGGCAGATCGTTACCCTCTGCTCGCCTCCGCTGGAACAGAGTGACTTGATCCGCAGTCCAGGTTCTCTCACGTTCTTTCTCCATTTCTCACGACTACTCTCGGCTGACCAACTCCAAAATCGCTCTACAGTATCTCAAAGACTCAAACTCTCCAGCAACAAAGACAAAGCAAAACAAAAAATTTCAAGAAAGCACAGCAGGAAGACGTGTCGTGGGCTGCGATGACAGCGCGAGCGCTCAGGCGTAGCCATCCAACGCCATTTTTGCACCATGGCAACGCATCTTCGGCAATGAGTGTATAGGGAACTGCTTCTCTGTGCCTAGATTTTCTCTTTGCCTGACCTGACCTTTTGCCCTCATGTAGCGGGCCGCTGTCTCTCGGCGGCAAAATACTACAAGGGTGTGAGTGAACACACTGTTGTTTTTGTTTTTTTTTACACTGAACTGAACTGGAATGAAGATTGAACTCTAACTGAAGTGTAACCTTAACCCGCATGAAGAGAATCGTGAGCAGCAGCTTTTATGGACAGACAGACTCCGTACGCTAACGTACGGGAATACGCTAAATATACGCTATACGCTACATTGGGAAATGGATCGGTACGTGCAGCCGAATGCATGAAAGGAATGCATGAGAATTACATAGAAAGTGATTGTTGCTGTGTAAGTCACCAGCGTGCCAGCGCTACACTCATACCGAACATACTGAGCACCTAAACTTTCTGAGAGTACCTTGCTGTGTAAATGGCTGCACTGGAGTCTGTGAGTGCTCAGGAGAATGACTGTGGAATGGGGTGGTGGGGGGGGGGGGGGGGGTTGCTGAAGCTCTCTTTGCCATTCTTTCCCAATGTACTGTATAGCAGGAAATTTTCGGACGGAATTTTTTTCGGACAAACCCGAATTTCGACCTTTCGGACGGAATTTTATTTTAGTACAGTGCTGCATGCTAAATGCACGTGTTCGCACGCAGTACGGATGTATAGTGTACATAACTTCACAGGAACAAATTTTAGTACAGAATTAATTTTAGTACAAAAGAGGCCGTGTACGAAATTGTAAATTGTACGAAAATAAATTTGGTCCGAAAATTTCCTGCTATACAGTACTTCTTGTGGTATTGATCCAGTGTGTATTGGGAGTCAATTCACATGGCCTTGTCAGCTACCGTAGCCGTGAAAACGGTCGTTAAGAGCAGGTGGTCGCTACTAAACACAGAGGTTGCTTACACCCGGTTTTACTTTATATGGATTGGGCAGTACCTGAGTTTTGATACCGGTATGTTTCACTCAGAACTTGTCAGCTTTTGTTCCTGTATGATTATGTTGAAATCACTGCATGTCTGCATCCAGTGCACTAACAGATTCGTGTGTGTCTCTTGTGACGGGCGTACACGGTGTGCGTGCGCGTGTGTTTCCATCTGTTTGTGTGTGTGTGTCTGTGTGTGTGTGTCTGTGTGTGTGTCTGTGTGTGTGTTTATATGTGTGTGACTGTGTGTATACATGTGTGTTGATACGTGTGTGTGTTAGATTTTGGAGACGGCGGCATAGGGCAGATTGAGATGTTGTTTCGGTGTAATTACTTAGCACTGGTCGGCGGTGGAAAGAATCCTAAATTCCCATCCAATAAAGGTGAGTCTTGTCATGCTGCTTGGAGGAGAATATTGCATATCTAATCAGAACATCGGGTGGAGTGATTTGGCCGGAGTCGCTATTTTTCTTGTTTTTTAAACGTGTGTGTGTGTGTGTGTGTGTGTGTGTGTGTGGATGTGCGTGTGTGTGGGTGTGCGTGTGTGTGTGTGTGTGTGTGTGTGTGTGTGTGTGGATGTGCGTGTGAAATTTGATTTTGCGTTCCCGTGCGAACCATATGCGTATATGTGTGTGTGTGTGTGTGTGTGTGTGTGTGTGTGTGTGTGTGTGTGTGTGTGTGTGTGTGTGTCCACGAGATTCAATTCCAGGGTGGAGTTTAGAGCCCGTGGTTCCTGATACAGTGGTCCCTCTATAATCCGGCACCATTTGTGCTAAAGAAATTCTGCTGGACATTGTAGGGAGGGTGCTGGATTAACAAATCTGATTTACTGTTGCAATGTGCATGAAGAGGTCATTTTGGCTAATGAAAATTGTGCTGGTTTATAGAGGGTGTTGGCTTATAAAGTGCAGGATTAAAGAGGGACGACTGCATTTCCTTCAGACCTCTCCCTTTTCTCCTCCTTCAACTTTTCACACAGTTATGCACCACTACTCAAAAACGGTCTCTTGGCTACAAATTCTTCCAAAACTAATAAAATCCAAAATTTTCGGCCCAGGCCCATCCTCAGGAACAGCTTTTCAGTAGTGGTTTTATAACTGTGTGAAACATGAAGTGGCTACAGTGGAGTCTGCACACCCTTAGGAAGGAACTCCTTCAACTGTTGAATATTTGGTGCATCGGGGGGCTCCCCATGCACTACAAGTTGTTTGTGCGTGAAGTGTGTGGGTAGAGTGAGGGCTGCGTCCCACCAGCCTGTGAAGTGTCACAGGAAGCGCGAGTTTCAAAGTCTGAAGAAAAATGTTGAATGGTCTGCTGGGATGACGGCTCCGCCATAGCTCAGTGGCTTGAGCATCGCTGGCCTCACGCGAAGGTCCCTGGTTCAAGTCCTGGTGGTGACAGTCAATTTTCCATTATGCCTTTCCCTGTTCAACTTTCTCAACTGATGAGTGTTCCTTATGTCATCATGATTTATCTCAGAATGAAGGCGATCTTCATCTGCATGGGGCGTGTAGCACTGGCTTGATTGTATTCTCTTCTCAATTGGACGTTGAGCTATTATCGTGTGTTTGGATGCGGTGCCGATGCTCTGTTTGTCTGTCTCTGTCTGTCTTTATGTATGTATGTCTGTTTTTGTCTCTCTGTCTGTCTCTCTATCTATCTATCTCTCTATCTCTCTCTTTCTTGCAGTGATGGTCTGGGATGACCTCAAGAAAAAGGTTGTAATCGAGCTGGGCTTTGATGACGAGGTTAAGGGCGTTCGCTTACGACGAGACAGGTAAGGACTGTAGGGCATGCTGGTGTACGAGAGAGAGACAGAGAGAGAAAGAGACAGAGACAGAGAGAAAGAAAGAAAGAAAGAAAGAAAGAAAGAAAGAAAGAAAGAAAGAGAGAGAGAGAGAGAGAGAGAGAGAGAGAGAGAGAGAGAGAGAGAGAGAGAGAGAGAGCTTGTGTGCATGTGTGCATAGTTTAATCTAACGAGAGAGCTTGGAAGCTCAGGGCCCTACGCTATGCTTTTTTGCCTGGATGACCTAGACAAAAAAAAGCATAGGGATGTTATAAATTCCCGTTTGTCTCTTTCCCTCAAACCAGTTAATATTTGATGTTATAAATAATTAAAAAAATTCTTTTTTTTAAGAAATAACCTGGGATTCGAACCCGCACTATCGCGCCCTGCATGCATCCCTCGATACACTTCGCATACATACTAATTCTTTCAAGTTGCTTCACATTATGATCTTGCATTTGAAAGCCCTATTTGAATATGCATTGTGGCCAGCCGTCTTTGATGGTACGGTACGGTAGGGATAGGTACGGGACAGGTACGATCGAGGGTAATACGACACCGTCTCCCGTACCGTACCATCAAACACAGCTGGCCACATACAGCTGCCCGCAATATTCAAATAGGGCTTTCAAACGCAAGATCATAACGTGAAACAACTTGGAAGAATGGGTATGAATGCGAAGTGTATGGGGGAATGCATGTAGGGCGATAGTGCGGGTTCGAATCCTAGGATATGCCTGGAAAAAAAAACAGGAGAATTGAACAATTTATAACATCCCTATGATTTTTTTGCCGTCAGATACGGGATAGCGCCAGGCGTGACACAAACAAACAAACAAACAAACACACAAACACACAAATACCAAATTAAAGCTGTGTGGACCCTGGCTAGCGCCAGACGTTACTGAAGTAACGTCTTCTGCATAGCTACGGGAATAAAAGTCTTTACATTTCTCTTTTTTTCCTTGCTTTCTTTTCGCCAGTGTTATGGTGATGTTGATGTGCTGTTTTCTGCTGTGCGTTCGTATATGTGTGTCTGTATGCATGTGTGCGTGTGCGTATATGCGCTTGTGTGTATGTGGTTGACGTCATCAGGATTGTGGCCGTCATGCTGGACAAGATCAAAGTGTTCTCGTTCACGCACACACCGCAGATGCTGCACATCTTCGACACGACGCTAAATCCACGCGGTAAGTTGTATGTAGTTTCTACCTCACTGTGGTAATTGCATTGTTGGTACCAGCACCTACTAAATCCAGGCTTATGTGCCACCCGTGTATCTTGAAAATGAAAATCAGGCTTGTATTCAAAACCGGCTTTCAAGACACTACGGTTTGTCACTATACAGTGAAATCTGTCTAAGACGGCGAGTAGCGAGTCACGGAGTACCACTGTTATCAGTTGTCTGAAGATAAGCCCATTGCGCATTGCCAAATGTGGAAGGTATGAGTAATGCATGTGAGTACGCTAGGATCAGGAATACACTGTTCAACACCCCAGGCGACCATGCCCAGGTGGGTGTGTGGGGTGGTCGCGGTACGAATAATTACGTCTTTGCGCAATGGGCTTATTCTCCGTCTGGCATGAAACTATTACCGTAAAGTTCCGTTGATCCCCCCCCCCCCCCCCCCACGCCATGTTGCTTCCCAGCTGAGTTTTTCGGTAGGGGGCGGGAATTAGATCAAGGCTGTCAAGTGCAGTACGATGTACAACAACGTAGAAGTTCAGACTCGATGTGCTGGATTGTGCACATTTTCATCCTGGATTGGCAAGTATTGTGTACAGCGGTGCATGCGTCGGTTCAACATCGTATTTTCGTTGTATACGCCGAAGTTGCTTCACAAGTAAAAAATCGACAGGGGGCGGATCAACGGTACTTTGCGGTAGTTACAACCAGACGTGTGGTACTCTGTGACTCGTGTATTTTGTCAGATTAAAGTATTCCAGCATAGCTTGTACGAGCCGCCATTCACTAGTTTGAGTGATGTCTGTGTTTGTGTGTCTGTGTGTACGTGTACATGTTTATGTGCGCCAGGTTTGTGCGTAATCTGTCCTAACAGTAACAACTCATTGCTAGCATTTCCCGGTGAAAAGACAGGTGAGTGATTAATCTGGAATAGAAGAGAGCACAAGGATTTTAGCTATGAAGTAACTCTCTTCACAGTGGCCGGTGTTTCCTCTGAGTCTTGAGATGCAAGAAACAAATAAGAGGAGATGAGAATAATATAATGCAGTCAGAAAGTACGATATCTAGTCACCAAAATCTGACAGGCTACTGAGGCTACAGGCTCAGTTGTGATGAGCCTGTGCCAGTTTGTCTTCCTTCTTAGGAGAGTTTAGCCTTCGTGGCGAACACTTCTTGTCAGCACTGCTTTATTTGAGTTACTCTGCCCGTCAAAATCTGTCTTTTGTTCTATAGATGATGTGCCAAATAACGTGTAACTAGACTTGGGAGGGCATTGCAGAGTAGTTGCATACAAAGTTCAAAGTTGTACGGGTACCTGTGACTAGTGTTCCTGCAGGGCTCAGGGCCTACCGTGTACACATTGTGGTATGATGTGTATGCAACTTGTGTGCGATGCCCTCTCAAGTCTAGTTGCACGTTATTTGGCATATCATCTATTCTGCATGTGTGTGTGTGTGTGTGTGTGTGTATGTACGCATGTGCAATTTGCTACACAGGCCATGTACAAGTGGTTGACCTGGCAAACACGGAGCGTTCACCCGTCGACATCGCCGCGCATGACAACGCTCTGTTCTGCATCAGCCTCAACCTTCCTGGAACTCGCCTGGCCACAGCGTCAGAAAAGGTACTAGTATGTTTGGATGCTATAGACAAGGCGGGTCGAAGCTGTGAATGTCAAATGCTGCTGTCTGATGTTCGCTGAAATGAGTGAAACTTGAAGTTACAGCTACATTGCCTTTCGCCTCTGTTGTGTGTGTGTTTGGATGCTATGTGGTTGCCACACATTTGGGTGTGAGACCGGCAGACACACAAACAGACACACACACACACATACACACACACCACACACACACGCACACACTCACACTCACGCAAAGAGAGACATATAATAAGTTCGATCTCTTCTTCTTTTTCTCATCGTTTGTATGTCCTTTTCTCCTTGGCCATTGCAGGGCACGCTAATTCGTGTGTTTGACACCAACAACGGCATACAGCTGCATGAACTGCGACGTGGGGCCAACGCAGCACAAATCTACTGGTTAGTCACAGCATCTATTCATAGCAATAGAATTCTCTGTGTGTGTGTGTGGAGATTTGGCAGGCATGTAGCTTGTGTGTAATCAGTGTGTGGGTGTGGGTGGGTGTGTGCATAGCATTACAGCATCAACTTCAACCCAAACTCATCGCTTGTGCATGTGTGTGTGTGTGTGTGTGTGTGTGTGTGTGTGTGTGTGTGTGTGTGTGTGTGTACACTGTGCTGTGGTACGTGTGATTGCAGCATAAACTTCAACACGGACTCCTCACTCCTCTGCGTATCTAGTGACCACGGCACAGTACATATTTTCTCCATTGAGGAGCAAGCTGCGAGGAACAAGGAATCAACGTAAGCGCTCAATCCCTGGCGTCATTCCCGGCCAAGTGTGCTGGTGCGTGCTTGTGGGAGGGGGGGGGGGGGGGGGTGCTGCCCGACATGTGTGTGTGTGCTTTCACTGCGCATGCGGCAGAGCGTTTAGGAGAAGTGGCGATTTGAAGTGTCACCTCAAGTACTGCCCAGCTCAGTAGCCTATAATCTCCACTGGAGACGGGGCTTCAAAGTTCAAAAGTGTGTGTGCATGTGTGTGTGCATGTGGGTGGGTGGGTGGGTGGGTGTGGGTGTGTGCGTTCCGGAAAGGATTCACTTTATATGCGGCTTGTATCTAAATTCATACTTTGGTTCCAGTTTTGTAATGGTGCTGGTCAGATTTTGAATGTGAAATCTGCTTGTACTTGCCCGGAAATCTTTTGATTACACTGAGCTGGAAAGCTGATTGTCTCAAATTTTGCTTTTCTACTCTTCGTGTGTGTGTGCGTTTGTGTGCGTGTATTTTTATGTTTCTCGGCATGTTTAGACTGGCGTCGGCGAAGAGTGTTCTTCCTAAATACTTCAGCTCCGTTTGTAGTTTTGCGCGCTTTCAAATCCCATCGGGGTCTCAGTCAATATGCGCGTTTGGGTCTGAGAAGAACTCTGTAATAAGTAAGTACAACAAACCTTGTCTATGCATGTACGTGTGTTGAGACTGGAGGCTGGAAAGAGACAGAGAGACGACCATACTGGTGTTCTTCAGACAGACCCCCCAGTTACCTGGTGTATGTGTGTGTCATGCCTTTCACTCGTTTCACCTTTTCTGCCGGTTGCAAGTTTGTTTTGATTTCGGCTGCATGCAGCTCTGTTCTTATGGATTCTGTGTGCGTGCATCTGTGTTTGTGTGTATGTGTACATGGTGTGTGTGTGTGTGTGCCTGTGTGTCCTCTCCTCCGCAGCAATCTGTGCTGACGGCAGCTACTACAAGTTCCTCTTTGCAGCGAAGGGAGAATGCACTCGCGACGTCTTTGCACAGTTCTTGAAAATGACAGACGGAGACTAGTGTCACCCGGCGACAACAGCAGAGAGAGAGAGAGACAGTGTGTGTGTGTGTGTATGTGTGTGTGTGTACGTGTGTGTGTAAGTGTGTGTGTACGTGTGTATGTGTGCATTATCAGAGACTAAATAAAGCCCGTGCAGTGACCCACGGCTCGCAACCGATGGAGCAGGGACTGCGGATGCATTTCACCTTCCACACACCGAGTGGCGTGTGTTTGTAGCGGGTATGGTTCTCACAAACGCTATCCCATTGATAGTGTCTCCGCCGCACCCTCTGACATTATAACTCATAACCTGTATCATCATGATAGTAGTTGCTGTCCCCCACTCCTTATGTCATCCGAATCATAGCTAATTGGCCACACGTCCGAGGCAATATATGGCGTGTTGTCGTATCACCACGTCCTGATCGCGCGCCGCACACTCGCCGAAGCGCCGTCCTGGTCGAGCAATGGCTATGCATCAAGGACTGCGACGCTGCGAGGGCCGTGCGCACGCGCGCGTGTGGTTGATAGCGCGTCTCCTTTCATTCTTTTTCTTCATAAAATCACGAGCGGAGGCGGCCCAACGCGGCACGCTCCGCTCCTGTGCCGTCTATTTACTTGATTGCCCGCCTCTGAATTCTTTTTATTTTGAATATTTTCCTGCCTGCCGCGCTCTCTGTCTAGTTCATGCCCGGCTAGCTAACGACGTTGTGCCGCCGGTGATGTCCGTGCATGCTAACGACGTTGTGCCGCCGGTGATGTCCGTGCAGGCTATCTGAGGCCTTCCTCCTTCTCCTCTGCTACCGCCTCCGAGGAGGAGGAGGGGAGGTTTTTAACCCTTACTGTTCTCATTATCATTACCTACTCGTCTCTAGACATGGCTGTGCCATAGCTGACTTCTCCCCGGTCCCCTCGGTTGCCGCGGCGACCCCGTATTTGTTACTGGCTGTTGCCGTGCTACTTGCCTCCTACCCGCTACTGTACAAAGCGCATACCCCCCCCCCCCCCCCTTCCTCTCTCCCTCCCTGCGATCTGTGGCCAGGACTCTCTTCTTGTTGCTGCTTGCTTGCATGCCCTTGCTTTTCTCGGTTATGTTTCTTTTCTCACGCCGCCTTGCACTGTTACCTGTGCAAGTAACGTTGTTTGATTTGACTTCTCTTCTTCAATACAAGTAGTTCAAGGTGCTGCTGTTCATGTAAATACCGCATCCTTGACCTTGTTGTTGGTGGTGATGGTGTTGTTGTTGGTGTTGGTGTTGTTTGTTGTGACGTACTTCCGGTGATTCGCCACTGGCTCCCGTTACCCGGGCATTCCGAAACACTTGCTATGTGGCCGGCAGAGCCATCCAGGGAGTAGTACGAGCATTGTATACCCTATGTAGAAGCATTGCTTGATAGGTTAACATGTGACTCGCCACAACACAGACTGCACGGTGTCTGGAAGAGTAGCGGCAGCAGCGAGAGCACTTGGTGCAATCTTACTTGTTCATATCACAAACAGGTATCACACAAGGAAATCATAGCAAGACTCATTCCGAGAGGGAAATGTGTTGATTTCGGGTACTAGTAATCAATTCATTTCGAGAGGAAAAGGTGTTGATTTTGGGTAATCAGTACTAATCACATCGTCCTAACGATTGGTTTAAAACATGTTTTTAAAATCAGTTAAACAAATCCATGGTTGAAAGACCAAAAAAATGGCTACGATAGGGTCGCGATCGGGTAGTCACCAGATACGACACCCCTAGCGGCAGTATACGTCGGTGTGAAAGGCAAGGTTAGACCGATTCAGCATGGCGGACCGGCGGCTATACCAGTCTAATAATAGAAATAGTTACAGTTCGCATGTCACTCATGGAAGGATCCTATCTGCCAATGAAATCCAGGCAGAAGAGCCAACAAAAGGCATCGCAGTATAATAATAATATCATTAGAACCTATAGTAGCAGACCAGTCTAAGACAAACGGAAGATTTGCTAGGTGTGAGCAGGGACACGGCAGCAGAGACAGGGATAAACACAAACAAACGACAAAAGTCACAAAACGCCAACTAGGATAAGCTAACTAGGACCTAGAACATGGGAGCCAGCCCCAATAGGTTAGTTCACTCAGCTACAAGTACATGTATACAAGAATACAGGAGCCCGTAGGTTTCCTTACTAAAATCTACAATGACATCTAAAAAATCACGGTTTGTGTGAGGCTCGGCTAGAAGCCGAGTTTTCCGCATCCGCAGGAACGCCACCGCCCAAGGCGCAGATACAGCTTATAAAGCGGTGGGACATCTCCTAAAGATATAGTAGAAGAATAAATAATGCCTACGGCAGGAAGGGAAATTCCCCCCAAGGCTGCGACGGGAGTGATATCGCTAACATAACATGGTCTACTAAAATTACTCAAAAGTCAAGTGGGACCTAGCACACGTCAAGCTCAGTGAGTCAACTCAAGTGTTAGACGGACTTCTTGATCCGTGCTTGGGAAAACAGGCACGGGGAAAACCCGCCGTGACGGCTCAAAGAACACACGCACAGTCTAGCTACCCGCAGTGCAGCTGCCGTACACACACACACGCACACGTGCGCGCACACACACACACATACACACACACCGTTTCCGGATTCGCTCACGGTGAGTAGATGGATTCAAAGCGCGGGTCACGCAGCAGTTTTACCTTGAGATGTGTGTATAGTGGCTGATGCTCGATACCAAGTACCTCATACCGGGTGCTCCGAATGCCATCAATTTCGGCACGTTTCGAGCTATTGCGGAGGATCTTCATTCGATCAAATTGCGGTGACGAGCCACGCTGATGATTGCGTTTAATCGTAGCGTAGTGACCAAGTTCCTTTGGTGGTCGACGCCTGTTCAGCTTGTACGTCCGCCATCGAATAGAAACGTCATCGTCCTCACCGCCCCAGCCCCAGAACACATTGGAGAAGCCGTTCATTTTGAATATCTGTGTGTGTGTGTGGGGGGGGGGGGGGGGGGGGAGAGAGAGAGAGAGACGCAGAGATGAAACGATCATAACTATCACCAGAACTCGTACAGCAGTGGAATAAACCTCCAATCATTTTTGTTCTCTTTATATACCAAAGGAGAGTGGGCGAGACCCGAAAGAAACATATTACATAATATTTGCGCCGGATAACTGCCAAATCCGCGCAACCGGTGGAAGCCATGTGGACTGAAACATACACACACACACGCACACACACACACACAGACACACCCCTCCCCACGTACACATACACACCCACGTACACACGTACCCCCCCCCCCCCCCCACACACACACATGCACGTACCCCCCCCCCCCCACACACACACACACGTACCCCCCCCCCCCCCCCCACACACACACGTACCCCCCCCCCCCCCACACACACACACGTACCCCCCCACACACACACACACGTCTATATACACACCTGATCGGTACTCTGCTTGACAACTCCGCCGGCAAAAGAGAAATATGGCAATCCCCAGTTCCAGCGGTCTGTCCTGGCAGACATGTGCACAGGCACTGACTCACACCAGTAACTCAACATGGCGTCCACGGGAATGTTGTCTATGTCGTGATACACAAAGCAAGTGTAGTTGAACTCACGCAACGCCTGGCAACACACAGTGGAATACGCGTACATGTACATGCACATGCACAAGTTATACACACGGACGGACAGACAGACAGAGACAGGCACACGCATACACAGGCATGCACACACACACACACACACAAACACAGACGGACAGGCACACGTATACACACACACGCACGCGTTACACACGGACGGACACACACACACCACGTACCACACACACACACATGTACATGCATGCACACGTTACACACAATAAGGGCCGGCAGGGGCAGCTCAAACAAGTGTTCAATACGCCAGAGTGTAGAGCCGGATATGCGCAAATACAGAAGACGGTAGGCTGTTCTTGCTGTAATGTTACTTTTTGACTATTCCATCTTTCTGAGTCGGCATGTACCGTAGTGTCTTGTATAAAAGCCTGTTTTGAATAGAAGCCTGTTGTGAATAGAAGCCTGTTTTGAATAGAAGCCTGTTTTGAATAGAAGCCTGATTTTTCAAGATACACTGTCGGCACACAAGCCTGGTTTTAGTGTTGACACACATAGAAATACCTGGTTTGAATAGAAGCCTGATTTTTCAAGATACACTGTCGGCACACAAGCCTGGTTTTAGTGTTGACATACATAGAAATACCTGGTTTGAATAGGAGCCTATCCCTGACATCGGCTACTACAGGAATAAGCCCGGCTTTAATACGTGACATTACGGTACACACAACTACGGTAGTGTTGGGTTCTGAAGAGCTGGGGGTCAGAGGCGTAGCCGTAGCAGTTCTTGTTCTTGATGTACAAGTCTCTGCTATGCACAGTTGAGCCACAGGCGTTTTTAAAAGATCGGTATGCTGTGCTCAGTGCTCATCCTTGGGCGCTCCGTTCTTCGGCATCCGACACTACAGTCAACTTTGCGTATAACGACTCTCGGCGGGGCATCAGAAAAGTGTCCTTATTCGCCAAGTGTCCTTATACCCGAAGTCTCATTATCTGTATTGCGGTTAGATGGGACTTTGGTCTGGGCATGGAAATTCTGTCGTTATTCGTGAATTGTCGTTATATCCGCAGTCGTCATTAGCGAAGTTGACTGTACAGTATATATTACTAACTAGGCTGTTCGATGATTGGCTAGTGTGTGAAGCTAGAGAAGAAACAGCCTACAGCTAGAGTCTCCTGTGTTTTGTCCATGAACACATTGCACGGCATGGGAGTGTGCGTACATATGCATGCAGATAACACACGCACGCACACGGGCACACACACATACACACACACACACACACACACACGGGCATACACACATACACGCAGCCCCCCTCCCCCACCCCCAACACACACACACACACACACACACACACACACACGCTTACACAACTGACCTCAAGCGTTCCCACGTTCATCAGCATGGCCCGGTTGAACGGCTGCTCGTCCACCTGATCCACAATATACACGGCATAGTCCAGACGCTGACGCTGCAAGTACTCGTGCATGTAACTAAGGAATAATCGCAGGTGCTCGTAGCGATTACGATACGGCACTATCAGCGCAAGCTTCTGCTCCGCGACGCAGCCATCACTCGGCGACCAACGCCCACCCGGCTGGATTCCCGTCTTGTTGTACTTGGCGAGGAGTTCGCCTTCGCTGGGCACCGCGTTTAGGTCCGGAGTGAGACGTGGTGCATTGGCGGCCGGTTTCTCCACACTACAGCAACAGCCGCGCGCCAGCGTACAGGTGTCGCTAAGACAATCGGGAGCTTGTGTCGTTCTGTTACCCGCTGTCGCCACTATCGGCACCGATGATGTCTGGCCTTTCTGCTGCTCGGTTCCCATGGTAACCTGCTTGAGCGGCGACACACCCGTCGTCGGCGGCGGCGACTTCACTTGGGCAGGTCGAGTTGCCGTGGCGATCACGTTGCCCGGCCTGAGCCGTTGGGTGCTTGCAGGTAGTGTTTGTGATGCCGCTGCTGCCGCTGCTGGTGGTAGTGCTGCTGATGATGGGAGTTGTTTTGTTGGTGTTGCGGGCGATCGCACGTGGTATTTGCTGGGTATTGGTGTGCTAGTTATCCCCGTTCGCACAGGACTGCCGCTCTGTCTCACCGTCGAGGCCGCCTTCTGCAGGTGCTGCTGCTGCTGCTGCTTCTGCTGTTGTGATGTACTACCAGGAGCTAGCTTCACTGATGCTGCTGTTGTTGTCGTTGCCCCTGCAGCGCCTGATAGGCTGCCACTGCTGCTTCCCATTCCAGGTGCTGCTGCTGTCCTCCCTGTCCCTTTGTTCACCCCCAGCACTACAGCAGCAGCAGCAGCAGCATCACTGCCAAGCTTCACTGTCATGTGACCTGGTTGTACAGAGCGCACTGGTTTGGCTGGCAGCAGACTCAAACCAGCACCAAACCAGCTGGACGAGTGCTGGAGCCGTCCACTTGCTATCATCACGCCGATCCACAAGCATGATGCGATTAGAAGCAGCAGGAAGGTACGTCTCCCCCACGCTCCGCTTCGGATCCATTGGAAAACCATAAAAACAAGTCGTGTACAGCGACAGCTGTCCGCCGAAATACCGTATCTTCCCACGCTACAATTGTAGGAGAGGCGCTCGAGTGAGATACATGAAGCATCCACAGTCATTTAGGTCCAATACCATACGTGTCTGTGGGGATGAGCATACTGAGCAGAGAGGCAATAGGCTCAGCGAGCGGCAGCCATCAAGGTCTTGCTCATTCTTGATTGATTTCTGATTAACCCTTTCAGTGCCAAGGGGGTCAGAAAAATTCAAATTTTTCTGAGTTGAGCCGAACTCAAATTTTTCATAGCTCAGCTGTATATCCACGGATCTTTACAAACGATGGCTCTCTGGAAAGATATCATGGCCAGGCAGACAGCTGTGGAGAGAAAATGCAGCGAAAATAGTCTTCCTCGCGAGGGTGCCTGAGCGAAGTCCGTTTTCTGCATTTTCGTAGCATCTGCACTTTCTCACGCGCGCGATCGATCGCAGTGCAGTCAACCAACTTACTTTCAACGCACGAAATTCGGACAAAGCTGGCCCGAAAGCCACTGAAATTCTCGATGTTTTGGTACCCAATACGCATGGGTTGCCGCGAAAGAAATAGAGAAACCCGCGATGCGCATACGTCATGTTTTCTACGCGCGACAATTGTTTGTCCGAGCGCGCGCACTTCAGGCTTCGCCCTGGCGATATCTATCCCCACGGACACAAAGCGATGTGATGAGTCGATAGCCAAGGTCTTCCTGAACACGTAGAGTGGTCGTTTGTAAATCTCCTGTGTGTAGAAGTGGAGATACGAGTTTATTTGTACACCCATACTCATTCTGGGCGACTAAAGTCGCCCGTGGCACTGAGAGGGTTAATACATGATGTACTACATGTACAATGATTATGACTTATGTGCAAACTACAAGACTAGTACAACAACAAAAAGCACAAGCTTGCAAGATCACTTGAATCAAGAGTCCATAACCCAAGAGTATGCAACTGTGATTATGGGGGCATGCGTGGCGCGCTGCCTTCATTGCGTAACTTGCCTTCATCACGCTCTGAAAGCATGCATTCAAACTCTCAATTTCTCGCACGAGCCCATCCGTTTTTGCTCGATTCGTTCCAGTACCTACACAATCTCTGAATTCTGGCGCGTGAACTCCAGTTCCGTACGAAAGTTCATTTCAAACTAGAGGGAAAGTGCGGTGTTTGATTTTCCGCAGTGCGCGGACTGCAGCTGAATGATGTAATGAAGGCAGCGCGCCGCGCGGTTGGCCCATAGAAAAGAGATCACAGTTGCATACTCTTGGGTTATGGACTCTTGCTTGAATGAAAGGATTTTTGAAACGCCACGTACGTAATCGTTGCCATGCACGAGAACCCACGTGGACGCGTGCGGCCGGGCGCCCGCCGGTTTCGCGCGATTCTCTTTGCATTTTTTGCAGAATTTTTGGAATGATTCATAATCCTACACAGTTGCGAGGGCATGACGCTCTGATCTGATACGAGGTCTACTGTGAGTGATCTTGCCCGAGGTCGCGACGCCCAAGGGGCGTAGCCCCGGCCCCCGAGGGCGTCGCGACCGCGGGCAAGATGTGACTCACAGAGGTATATTATGGCACCGCAGGCCGCGCACCTGAGGGCCTTTCTGGAAGCCTTACTCGATCGGATAGAGCGAAACTGAGCACCCTGGGATGCGAGCAGTTTGTAGTTCTCCCGGGTCCAAAATCTCACCACCAGGCCGAGGTATATTATGTATCAGATTGCAACGACCAGGAGGCTCTTACAGCCCGAGTACAAGCGAGTACAAGGGCAATACCGGCTGATACATGACCGAACGGCGTCAGCCGTGAGGTCATGTATCAAGCCCGTATATATGTATTTTTTTTTTCCGCAGTACTCCAGTGAGCATGTCATGAAAATAAATCCGAGAAGAAAGAAAAAGGCCCAACCCTGCCCTGCCAGTTATTTGGACTTACGGAGGTCGCCATGGCAAATAATAAACATAAAACTGCACACGTTCGGGCTCTCCGCCTTCTCCGTGAAATTATAATACCGTAAAAGAAAACTAGAGGGGAAAAAAGAAGCAACAATGGGGAATAGGAACTGATTTAGGAACCACTTGCAGTCAGTTACACAGGGCAGCGGGCCTCGGCAACGGCCAAGGTAGCAGATGCATCCGCCACATCGCTGACGCGCATGGGGCGTCGCCGAGCACCACGCAAACAAACCATGCTGGAGCGAACCAGAGCAAAGCCAAGTCGGCAGCGAATCCACGCCATTACACGGTTGTACGGCTCCTTCGTCTTGTCGGACAGGAGCCCGGCAATCCGCTTATAGCAGGCTGTTGCCGACTTGCCCATGCCGCCTGTTGAGGAGAGAACGAGAGGTGAAAAAGTTGCATGTTCGATCTCTCGAACACGCTCCTCATAGCAGCGGCGTTTCTCCCGTTCGTGGCGCTGGTAGCAGGAGGGTACTGAGGTGGAGCGATTTGAAGCCGCGAAAGGGTTAAAAACCCGTACGTCGAAGAAAGTGCGGTCAAAACGCCCACCCCAGACACCACTCGCTGCTATATCCAGCCTAGCCTGGGGGTCCGTTATGGCAGAGCGGTAGCGGAATGCTTCCCCAGTTACCGGCTGCAGGTGTGGTTCAGTGGTGACGTTGTTGGCGACCCGTTTGAGGAGACCAGCCGTAACATCTCGTACCTCGTTGTGCCTCAGTGAGGGAAACCCACCCAGAGAGCACGACAAGGCGTGGGCGACGGTGAACGATGCACCACACGGGCAGATCGATGGAAGGTGGGCTGGCGGCCAGCCATAGCGGAGCGCAAGGCCATCCCGGAACTCACCCTTCGAGAGGGCAAAGCCATGGGCCTTCAGGGGTCTACAGGTCAGCCAAGCCGACGCACCCTTCTCCGCCGCCAGACCGACACAGAGCTGGATATCAGTGTTCTGCGTCAGGATGAACTCTTTGGCTGCTTGGGCCGTTGAAGTGCGGGTACGACTTGCCACCTCCCTCTTAGTGGACCGTACCAGGTCCAGCACATGGCCAATCTGGGTGTCCTGGTCCAGAATCTTGCGGACGAGCGCCGAGGTTATCGCTGCCGATGCCCGGAACTGGTCGCCCAAGGTGGTGGGGTCGACTAAGCCGAGGCCTCCTTCACGGCATGGGAAAGCAAGGACCCTTCGCTCACGTGAGTTTACTGGCTTACCGCACAGGGCAGGAATAAGGACATTGGTGATGGTGTCTTCCAGAGGGCCAAGATTTTCAGCAGCACACTCCATGACTCTGCACAGGAAGGACCAGCGATGCTTCAGGCCTTGCGTGAATGCTGCATAGGCAGCCTGTGGCTGGGTTTCGGCAATCTTGGCCAAGGACACGATCTCGTCTTTCCACCCGTTTGCCTTCTGGGAAACATAGCTCTGGACGAACTCCGTCGATCCGAGTGCAGCACCTAGAAACCGGTGGCCGTCGGTGGTAATGTGCACACCGATCCCTGCAAAGGCGTCCTCAGCTTCCGTCAGGTGACCGGCCTTGACAACCAGGACTGATTTCTCAGCATTTGCTGCGTACCCATATGCCGGTCCTTTCTGTCGCAGAATATCCCACCAAGCGCGTAGTCGTTGGACTCTGCCGCCCGCGGAGGAGTCGTCTGCAAACCACATCTGGATCGTTCCCTCAGCTGAGAGAGCACGAATGAGGGGTAGAATGCCCAGCGCATACATCGGCATCGCGATGGGATCGCCTTGGGTGGTGCCCTCTGCCGACATGATGACGCTGCCCCCAACAAACAGCTTTGCGGGTTGTCGGTAGCTGTTAATAACGACTGTATATATGTATTGCCCGTGCATGTACGAGCGCGTACGAGGTGCTGTAAATCATTTATTGCATGCTTGACACCCATGGTCTATATAGAGTGCAGATCAGCATTGAAAGTCCTTTTCTTGCACCTCTTCGACCTGGATCCTGCTGTGGACTTGGAGTTCGTTGAGAGAATTCTGAAATGTACGTCGTTTGAGGCTTTGAAAGTTTGAGAACTGATTTTTGATTTCTTCACCATTACTTTTCTTGTGGTGCGATGCCGGATACGTCCAAGACTGGAAACAATTATTTACAATGTAGGTTTCATTTTACCTTCCGTTTGTTTTCAAGGTGCCTGCGCTTGCGATGCTCCCTGAGCTCTTCGAACAGTTGGTCGACGACGGCCGACTCACATCATCAATGCCGGTCGTAACTTCGGAGAGAAGAGACAAGTCCGTGCAGGTAGGCAGTAGCTTTTTGGTGTATTGACTGTTGAATCCGATTATTCTGTACATGCTCGTCGCCAGTAGAGTCCTCCGTTTTTTCGAGCCTGTTGCTTCTTTTGGTGACCGGTGTGTCTGATGGCGATTTTGTCCATCTACCATCGATCGCACCAAAATGACAACCTGCTCCGGAGAAGTGAAGGACTCAACTGACGAACGGGCATGCGCAGAGTGATCGGATTCAGCGGGCAATACACTGAAAGTTATTGCCCGCTTGAGCGGGCAATACCGAGAAATACAGACCGCTTGCGGAGGGCGCTGATTGGCCGTAGTACAGACAACCCTCACGTGACATGCAATAAATTGTATTACATGTATGTGCATAGACAGACAAATAAACACTAACCTGAGCATGGGTACGAGGTGGTTTGGCTTTTTTTAACATGGTTGTAAAATGACGTTTTTTCAGTCACTTCTAGACAAGCTGCGTCCAAATGAATTGTTGCAAGTGGAAGTGCTATCCTTCATGCCCGTTGTGTCCAAAAATGGGAATGACCCCACTTTGGAAAGTGTCTTGAATCATGTCCTACTTTCACAGTATTCTCAGGATTCAAATAATTGGTGTGTCATTTTTTAACAAATTTGTAAAATGGCCAAGGATCTGCTAAAACCACCCTTTGGTGCTATTTTGCCGAAAATGAGTTTTTGCGGGAAGTTGGTCCCTGGCCATTGCCCAAACATATGGTGAAGTATTAGGCTCAAATTGTATATATTCATTGAAATGTGACCCATCTTATGAAAGCTTCTGGTGCATAAACATGCCGAAAATAATAATATTTACACTATATTTCGTATCTGAGGCTTCATACACCTGTCATACACCTGTCTATGTACAGAGAAAAACTATTTTGCACAGTTATCCAGTATTCTACTAGTATGTATGTTCCGAACAAAATAATTAGGACATTGGCTCTGCTTGGTCTGGTGCTGGGCAGGTGATATCTCCGCTCTCTGGGTTGCAGTGCTGACGAATCTGTTGGTGCAAGTACTTTGCACGTTGCCGTGAGATTCCAGCCGTCTGGAGCGTCACTGGCAGATGATTAGATGCCAGGCAGTAATACACTTTTGATAAAGGTCCTGAGCCACGTTAGCTTCTTCAATGTGAGCTTTGAGTGCGTCAGTGTGCTTTAAGCGAGTTTCTGCCGTTCTTGCCCTTATGATCTGAGACTG